TGATCTTCAAATTCTTTTCATAAATTTTGCTATTAACAATGAAAACAATATTTCTTTCCTGATATATCAATTTTCATATTTACAAAAAAATACACTTTAACTTGACAGTTGTCAATTTATATTGCCATATGATTTTTTTTGCCTTTTTTTCATTTTGTGCCATCACATTTTTGTACACCTATAGTCATTGTTTGAATGATTTATAGTTTTTTTATTTTAAATTATAAAGTTTTTCATTCGATATGTGTAAATAAAGATTGAAATTATTAATTTATTCCACATTCACCTAACAGCAATATGTTAGATCGTTAATTTAATTAAATAATATTTATAAAGGAAAATTTTAAAAAGCATTTATGTATTTTATAAAGCTACCTGTCGAGTAGTATTTTCACTGTCATCACCTTCCACTTCTTCTTCCTCCTCGCCTCCCTCGACCTCGTGTTCGTCTTCGATATCTTCTTCATCTTCACCTTCCTATTAATAGTACATGTATAGACTATAGTGGCAAAACAACACCTTCACATTAACATGTTTTAGTTATGATACCTGAACTTCAAAAAAATAAGATTGAATTTTTGTAATACAATTTAGAACAACAAGAATGACATGACATTTATTTATTTAGAGGGACTCTTGAAATCATGTTTGGTTTCCTAGCGGTCCGTGGACCAGAAGAAGTTGGGAAATACTGCACACGAGGGTCATAAAACTTATGGATATAAACTAAACACGAATTTCAAAAGGAATGAAATGTTGGGTGATATAGAATATTCTCGAAATGACATTAAAAAAACACAGTAGGGAATTAAGCTTACCCTGTACATAGTTCCTGAACATCTCTCATCGTCTTCCTCGGAGTCAACAACTATAACACCTTCGTCATCCTGGTCAATGTGAGAGGAGGTCGGCACTTGATACTCTACTTCCACCTCGGCCCTTCCGAATCCCTGTAAGAGTTCTTTGATTTAGATCATATAATGTAATATAGTCAAATTTTTACAAGGGATTAAAACATATTCAGGTTTCGTTCCAAAACGCACCAGATCGTGGTCGGACCAGACACACCAGAACTGTCACGACTAATGAACACGTATTGCATGAATAGTCCACCAGTTTCATCAAGTTGCCGTTACTTTAAAATACGCCAGTTCAAAATCGAATGAAGAAATGTCAAAAGTTACCATCAATATTTGATTACTTACCTGCACTCTAGTCCTTTTTGCAGTGACAGGGCGAGACTGTAAGCGTCTCTTGGGCGGGCGAGCATCTGGCGGCGGCTGCGACGTGCTGACTCCAGGTGGAGCATGGGAGGTGCTCACACCGGGTGGGGCGTGGGAAGTGCTGACTCCAGGTGGCGCTTGTGAAGTGCTGACTCCGGGTGGCGTATGTGAGGTGCTAACACCGGGCGGTGCATGAGACGTGCTTACTCCGCCAGACGACTGCGCGACACTCGCTGACGTTTGGGGCACATTTGCCGTACCTGTTAAATTTATTATTATTCAATCAACCTTTTTTTTACTGGCCATTAAATTAAAAAATCACAAGAATTTTTCTGAACCTACAATTTGCAAAACACCTAGAGGGACCAGTGCCAAAGTGGAAAAAATCCACAATAGCATTTTTCATTAAGAATATCTTTCAGTATAGCATTGTGAATGCAACAGTTATTGATCAAATATAATAAATAATTCATTAGGAATAAACACCTACAGGTATAAATACCTTCATTATGTCTAGATTTCGTTTACTGTTGTAACTTGCATTGTAACCAGTTTCATGAGCCGAAACAGGTAGAGTAAAAAAAGTAGCAATTACTACGCATTTGCCCTCGTTACGCTTTATTTTGGCAGTAATGCTGATTATATAGTCCGTAAAATGCAAAATTTTGAAGAAAAACATCTTTGTATTTTTCATCATTAATCTCAAGCCCTACTAAACATACATTAATCCTCATCGACCGAAGTAAAAATAAAAAATCCTAATTGATACCTAAAATACGTGTTTTATGAGAGTGGAATAAAAATATTTACCAGCAGGAGGTGGTGCAGGAGTGGCTGGAGCGGCGACGCTGGTCACGCTAGTAGCAACTGAACTTGCTGCGGATACTGTGGCAGGGCCGGTTGAGGTCCCCCCACTCGGCTGTTCTATGCGCGGCATCACCAACGCCACAGCCTATTGTGTTACGAATTATATATTGGATATAATGTGGCGTAGTAGTCAACTTTATTTCAGTAAGTACAATAAAGCTCGTATACAATAATTCACAAATCGCTTTTATAGTCTTTTATTTTCTAGACTTTGGCAAAATTTTAAGTCCGATGACTTACATATTAAAATAAGGAGTGAAAATGAGACCCAGATACGATCCCTGTAGCAGAACGGAAAAAAATTCACGACTACAATTATTATTTGCGACATGAAAAAAAGATCTGTTCAATAATAAATACTTAAGTAAAAGAATATTGAGACTATACATTTGGAAGGTTCTTTATCAGAAGGTTTTGAGCAAATAATCCGTCAAACAAAAGATATCTTGCAGTCGATCTTAATTTAAAAAATCTGTGCTGAGCTTCAATAGTTTCATATAAAGATATTTAGTTTTTTATTTGTCTGAATCAAAGGAAAAATAAATCTATGATATCTATAATATATAAAGCTTAATTTCTAAATATATATATAACTCAAAAGTGACCGACTGATATGGTGATCTATCAACGCACAGCCCAAACGATTGGACGGATCTGGACACATGCAGGTAGATGTTATGACGTAGGCATCCGCTAAGAAAGGATTTTGATTAATTCTACCCCCAATGGGATAAAATAGGGGATGAAAATTTGTATGAAACTTTGTCAATTTTAAACCGATTTGGCTGAAATTTGGCATGCAGATAGATGGATGTTACGACGTAGGCGTAAGAAAGGATTTTGATAAATTCCACCCCTAAAATAGGGCATGAAACTTTATTTCAGGTATTTTACACGATATAATGAATAAATATTCGTTAGAAATGCTGCTCAAAGTAACTTTACCACGCGGACAAAGTCGCGGGCAAAAGCTAGTTAGACTATATTATTATAATAGGTTGGGGGACAAGTTTCTTCGCATCTTATATGAAAATTCAAAACATTTTTAAATAAAGTTTATTTACATTTAACTAAAGTGTGTAAGTAACATTTTGTTCACGCACGATTCCATTGCTATAGAAATTTTGGGGCTTCTGATAAAAAAACATGGGGTTTTGTCAGTCCTCACATGATGTTAACCTGACACTGCCTAAAGAATTCTGAAGAGACCAAAACAGGTGGAAATCTGAAGATGCAAGGTCAGGACTGTACGGCAGATGCAGTAACACCTCCCAGCCAAACTCTCAACTTTTGCTGTTAATTCTGGCCGCTTTGTCTCAACTTCTTGCTTTAATCTCATCAGTTGTTCGCAGTAGAGTTCAGAATCGATGGTCCTGCCCGGCGGCAATAGCTCATAATGAATAATACCCTTCCAATCCTATCATATACACAGTATCAATTTGATGCGAGTTAACCCGGGTTTCTCCACAATCTGTGAAGGCTGACCTTTGACCACGACTTTTTTCGCACGTTCTTGTCGTACGAGATCCACTTTTCATCACGAGTTATCCGTTTCTTCAAAAATGGTTCGGTTTCATTACGTCTTAATAAAGAATCACAAATAAGTACACGGTTCATTAGGTTTCTTTCAGTGAGCTCGTGAGGTACCCAAATATCCAACTTTTTGTGTACCCAGATGTTTTCAAATGCGCTAAAACTGTTTTGTTTTCAATCAGTTCTTCAGCTATGTCGTTATTACTGATAAGCCAATCTCGCTTCACTTTCTCAAAAATGGCATCCATTTTATTCGTAACAGGGCGACCGGAGCGATGTGGGTCTTTGACATCAAAATTTCTGAACTGAATATGCTTAAACCATATTTGTGCTACTCTCACAGAAAGTGTTTGCGCTGCAATTTTACCCATTTTTTGTATCGAATTTCTTGATTAGATTCACTTATTTTGAAACTAATAAAAACAAATGAAAATCACACATTTTTCCAATTTGAATATGGAGTGATCATCTTTAAAATTTAAACTTTTTAATGATACCAAAACCAGCCGGATACAAATGGTATAACAGGAAAGATTTTGTTACAAGTTTATGCATAACCTAATATAATAAATATGCAACAATGTAACCGGTGATTACGAAATATCAAGAGATTTTACATACCTGTTGTGGCGCTTGTGAATGTGACGACGGCTGCGTGCTACTGTCACTGGCTCCTGAACTACCCATACCGGCTTCACTAGTTTCCATATCCTGATTTAAAAAAAAATGTCATAAGTCAAATAGCTGCTAATTTTTCTTAAATTATTATAAAAAATCACTATAATCGGTAGTACTAAATGTTTGTTGATATCAGTAAAAACTAATTCGTCGTAGAAAAACTTTTTGCAAGCGACAGACGAGAGATTTTCGAGAGAAATATTTGGTGGAGCCACGGAGGGGAATCAAAAATAATCTAGATATCAGAACTGGAAAAAATACCTGCGTAGATTCAGGAGGTGCAGTAGAAGCAGCTAGTGCTGCCCGAGGTAACGGTCGTGATGATGATGCCGGCATATACTCTGTGGTGTGGGCGTCATGAGGTGCTGTCGGTCCCACTTGGGCCATCGGCCGGATCGATGCCAACGGTGTCTCGCCTCCGCGTCGGCTGCCTGACACACTTTGTTGTGCCACGCCTATATATCACACCCAGTCACGTAAATATATGTAAATTCTTCATGAAAAGGGTAAGGGTAACTTTCAAACAAAGAAATAAATAGTGTATGATTATAAAAACTTAATAATGTTTTTTCATGTGGTTGTCGAAATTCGATCGCTGGGCGATCATTAGTATCAATAAAAAAAACAAACAATTTTTCGGTAGTTTTACACAAAATGAAAATATTTAATAAAGTAAGTAGTTGAATTACAAACACTTGACTATTCACTTGTCAAAATTATCACAAGTTCCCTATGGGCAAACTCATAAGTAAATAAGAAATTCACTTACCTGCCATAGGTTTAATATTTGCTGTAGGAGGATCAGTAGTTGTCTTTTCAGTAGCCACCTGCTGTTTAGATGCTGAAGCTTGACTGGCTGCAAGTTGTCTCTGAAGTAAATTGACTCTCTCTTGTGCTTCGCCTCTTTCTTTTTCTAATCGAGACAAACGTCCTTCGTATTGAGATTTAATGAGCGCTAATCGCACATCTTGTTCGTCACGTGTGCTCTGTGCTACTTGTTCTATAGTTCCTATTTTGTTTCGAGTTTCATCAAGTTCCCTACTTAAGGTATTCTTTAATTCTGTCAGTTGGACTATTTTACTCTTTGCTTGTTTCAGTACTTGTTTCGCTTTCTCCTCTTTATCTAAATTTGTGGTTCGGAGACTTTCTAATTCTTGTTTCAATTTTTCATTGTTAGTCTTTTCAGAGTCCAATTTTGACTGTAAGTCATTAAGCTGATCTTGTAATTTCTTTGTACTTTCTGCAAGTGCCGTATCGGCAGCAACAGCTTCACCCTCAGATTTCTTTTTATCTTCCTCCACAGTTTTCACCAGATCCTCATATTGTCCTTTGTATTTTTTGGCAATTTTTCTAATTTGCATTTCTTTATTCCTAATATCATTCAAAGAAGCTTCTTTAGTGGTTATCTCTTCAGTTAATTTCACATTTGATTCATTACATGAAGAAAGTTCTTGCTTAAGTTTTGTTAATTCTTCGGTCAACCGCGACAGGTCTTCCTTGAGAATTTGCAATTCTTCATTTAATTTCTTATTCTCTTCTACTAAATTATTCTGCTGTCGAGATAGTACTGTATATTGTTCTTCTAGTTTAGATTTCTCTAATTTAATAGCACTAAGTTCTTCGTTTAATTTGCGGACATTTTCCTTCTCATTTGTGAGCATTTTAGCCAATGTTTCTCTTTCATTTTGTAGGCGTTTCCAATCTTCTGGACTTGTTTTATTTGCTCTTTCTACAAGGGCATTCACTCTAGTTCTCCATCTAGCACAGTCAGCTCTAAGAGATGTGTTTTCGGATTGATATGTTTCATTTTTAGATGAGAGATCGGTCAACTTTTCTTGCATGGGTGCTACCTGTTCCTCCATAGCTTTGAGATTTGCAGTTAGATCCTCAACACGAGCATTCAAATTATCACGTTCTTCTCTTAAGATTCTGTTACTATCTGTGAGGGCATTTAGAGTTTCCACTTTTCTCAAAATATCAGATTGTCTGCCGACTGTAACCATAGTTACTTCTGATCTTTCTCTTTCAGCTGCTAAAGCTAATTTTGTATCATCAAGTTGTTTTTCAGCAATTTCTAATTGTGATTTAAGTCTCATTGTTTCAGCTTGCAAAATATCAAATTTAGCCATGGCAATGTCTTTCTCTTTTCTTAAATATTTAACGATTTGGAAGAGCTGTTCTGATGATTTTCCGTCATCTTCACTGATAGAAACATTGACAGATTCATTTGCAGATTCGTTCATGCTTTCGGAATGTGACCTAGATGCATGAGAAACGGAGAGCTGTGTACCTAGAGCTTGAATTTGATCGTGTAGTAATGAATTCTGTTGATTCAAATCTTGCAAACGTTGTGTTAATTGTTCATTTTCATTTATCAATATTTTTTGCCTTTCAGACCAAGATGATCTTTCAGCTTCTAAAGTTTCTAAAGCATTATTTTTCAATGCTATTAACTCGTTTAATTGATTTTGAGCATTTAACAGTTCTTCTTTCAATTTCGAAAGAGTTTGAACATCGGTTGAATGTAATATCATTTCGTGAGTATACTTTTCCTCCGCTTTTTGATAAGCTTCTGATAATTTTGTGATTTCTGAACGTGCAGCTTCTAATTCAGATTTACAGTTCTCATAGTTAGCTAATGAAGTTTTTAGTTCTTCTTTAGCAATAGCCAATTCATTGCGCAAAGAATTATTACTCGCAGAATGTTCGCCATTGGAGTGAAGAGAGAGCTCTGCCTCCAATTCAGCACATTTATCCTCAAGCTTCTGAAGATTATGAGAATAATTTGATAGTTTAATTTCTGTTTCAGACTTGTATTTTTCGTAAACATCATTAAGAGTTTTCAGTTCTTTCTCAGCACCTTCAGAAATATCGCAATATTGTTTTATGTGTTCTTTAGCAACATTCAACTGTTCTTGAAGGGATTTTATTTCATTATCTCGGTCAGACAATTTATTTTCAAGTTCTTTTATTTTTTTCATAGTATCAAATGAACCATCACTATTAGGTGCAAGTGCCAATTTTAATTTTTTAGCAAGTTCTTCATTAGACTTATTTTTGTCTAGCAAATCTTGACGCAACTGGGAAATTTCCTTTCGCATTAAATCAGCAGCATCTTTTTCTTCTTGCATACGGGACTTGGCTGTATCTGTTTGTCTTTCTAGATGTGCAGCTAATTCTCTAAAACGATCTTGCTCTTCTTGTAATCTTCTTCTTAAAGCAGAGCATTCTCTTGTTGCTTCATCTAATCTAGATTCTAGTTTGGCACGATTTTCAGCTTCAACTCTTTCCAAACTGGCTTTAATCAATTCTAGGTTTTTCAATAACAATGACTGACCTTGCCGTTCACGGTTTAGCACTTCTTTTTCAGTCTGTAGACGTACTTCCGCATCCTTCAATAACTTACATTCTAATTTCATATTTTCGAGTTGAATTTCAGCAGCAGCGAGTTTGCTCTGAGCATTAAGAGCCTCATCTCTTAAATGTTGTAATGAAACTTCATGTTTAGCAATTGTTGCATTATATGCCTTATTCTTTTCTTCTAACGATGATATCTGTTTTTTGTATGTTGTTATATTTGTTTGCAGGATCTTAAGTCGTTCATTATTATATTCTGAAGTAGAAGCACATTTACTATTAGCTGCTGTAAGCTTCGCAATTTCTTGTCTCATATTATCTATTTGTTCAAAAAGCATCCGTTCATTTGTTACTTTTTCTTCTTTGTATGTTTTATATTCTTCTTTTAATAACTCCAAGTGTTTTTCTGACTCTCTATACTTGATCTCGAACCCAGATGTATCGATTTCAGCTGGCTTAGTTTTTTCAGATGATGTGTCCATTGCAAAAGTGTCTTTATCTAAATCAGAAACTTCTAGTACAGAAGACATTTCTTGACGTTTTCCTTTCATGTGATCATGGTATAATTTTTTGAACATGTCGCGTTGTCTAATCAAGCCATTAACCATTTTAGTTTGCCTATCCTGAGCTTCTGTCAATTCTGTAACTCTATTTTTCAAAGTTTCTATTTTACTTTGCATTTCTCCACTTTCAAATTGTTCTTTATGACGTTCAAATTCTTCTTGCTTCTCGGTCAATTCGCGAACCATCCTTAATAATTTTTGGTTATTTGATTGCAATTCCTGAATATCACTGAATGTCACTAATGTTTTTGAGATAATACGCGATGAACTTAGATCAGAAGAATTTGTAGTATTTGATGCAGTATGAGAAGAATCATGGTCGCCGTTCGGTAAAAGACCACCACGAGTATGTTCTATTTCCTTTAATAGGAAACATACCTGTCGTCCCAAATCCGCTAATTCTCCTTTTAATTTAGCGTTTTCTCTGCTGTAATGGTTAGCAATTTTCGATGTTTCACTATAGTCATCCCTTAATCTATTACATTCAATCAAAATAGAATCTATTTGCTGACTCAATGCAGTGTTGCTTTCAATGGCTTCTTCATATTCTGCCTTTTGCTTTTGTAGCATTGGTGCTTTTTCTTCTAGTTCCTGTACAATAGTATTAATAGTTATATTTAAGCGCCTGTTTTCTTCTTTCTCTTGAGTTAGTTCATCAGTGACCTTTACTAATTGCGAGTAGATCTGTGTCAGAGACATGCCCGATTTTAAAAGCTTGCTAGCTGTTGCGGCAGATGGAGCTAAATCACTTAATGCCATATCCAAAGTTTGGGCATTTGCAGCTTTTAGTAAATCGTTTGCATGTTCCAATTCACCTTTCAAAGATGCAATCACTTCATTTTTCTTTTCCATCAATTCTTCATGATCCATTTCTGCTTGTTTATATTTAGTTTCTAAATCCCCATATTTTTCAGTTGCTTCATTTAATAATCGTTGCAGTTCTGTTATACCATCAGTCAATTCCATGGTTTTTGCTTCTGCATCATCATGCATGGTTTTAAATAAGTCTGCTAGTTTAGTTTTTGCATCTAATTCTTTTTTGTAATTATCAGTCATCTTATTTTCAATTTCTCTTTGTTCCATTAAACGCTGTGTCAAACTCTCAGCACGAGTATTAAGATTCTTCTTGACTTCATTCAGTTGAGCTATTGTTTCATTTGCTGCATTTAATTCTTCCACTTTTTCAGCTAACTGTGTTTCCAGATTGACTAATCTGCTTGTGTTATTTAGACGCACAGTTTGCAGTTCCGAAGTCAATCTATTCACTTCCTCAGTTAGAGCGCCAATTTGAGAATTCAATAAAATTCTTTCTTGTTCTATTCTTTTTTCTCGATATTGCAATGAAAGTTCTTTGCTCTGGATTTCATCATTTAATGCTAAAGCTTCACATTTCGCATCGATAGCAGCACGTAATTGTTGGGAAAGCGATGCTTCGCTGGCTGTCATTCGTTCTATTTCAACATCCCGCCGTTGTAAAATACGTGTCAAGTCATTTCTTTCATCAACTGCGGCATCTCGGGAGCTTTTAAGTGATATAATTTCATTTTCTAAAGAATTAATTTTATCGCGTGCTTTCTCAAGTTCTGAATTTAGACTCTCAACTTGCTTTCCTAATTCTGCAATAGTATCATCTGCAGCAGACAATTTTTTAACAGACTCTTCATATTTTACAGTTAGCTCAAGAATTGTGGCTTCAGAAGTAGCAATTTTATCACCTAAAAAGAAAGTTTTTTTTTTAAATCAAAATTATCAAGTATGCATAATTAAATATAAAACTAAAAATTTTAATAATTCTAAATAAACATTGTAAAACTAGCTAAACCCAGACACTATTCACTTGTAAGAGTCTGTTTTTGTGAAAATGTTGTTAAGATAAGAAATGTATAGTTATTGTTACTATTTTGTTTTAAAAATTATGCTTCTATGATGTATCTAGTGACATTTCAACTGAAAGCTTTTTTTGCTATTTTTTTACTTTTACGAACTAAAAACTTTCTATCTACATCTATACATAGTATAAAACAAAGTCTCTTCCCACTGTATCTACGCTGAGATTTTTTAAACTACATAACGAATTTTAATGCAGTTTCTATATATATTTTTTTTTGTATTTCTTCATTTGCAATTTGTCTATTAACTGTAAGCAGATGTGATGTGAGTGATTTTATCTTGTAGGAACAGTCCTCCATTGAGTATCTCTGCATTCCTGTTTTCTATGATTTCAAAGTGAGACATAATTCAATGATGTGTTGACAGTTAAGCCTCTTAGGGCACTTGACTATGGTAAATTGTGTTGCTAGGCAATTTGGATTCCATCAATATACAACGTGATTTATGTATTAGTACACAGAACACAGAAATATTCTAAAACTTGGAACTTTTATTCACCATCCCCTTTAACTAGAAGTTGGAACTTTGTATGAGACTTTCGCAAATTTTGGTGTTAGAGGCCTGAAAACTGATATAAGAATGCTTTGTTATATTTCAGGATATTTCGCAAATCATCACCATCCTTTATGTTAGGGATAGAAATTTGTATGGGAATTCCCATAGAAACTTAAATGTCATGCTAGTATGAATCATATGAATACCTACACTGATTTTAATTACAAATTATAAAATATGTGTTAGAAGGTTTTTAATCCATACTTACTGGGTATATTTATTAATATTCTATTATGAAAAGAATGTTTGTTCGTCCTTCTTTTACACAAGAATGGAGTACTGTTAACAGCAAAATCATCTTATTTCCATGGAAAGATAATTTTCTTCTGAATACACAAGATGTCCCCTATACTAATAGCAATCAGATACCGAGTTGGTAATAAATAAAGTAGGTTGGTATAAAGACAATTGAAAAGGTATTGGCATAGATTAAAAAGAACTATTGGTTTTAGAAAAATACTGAAAGTAAGCATAAGCATTTTTCAATAATACTGACCATTTATTGAATTTTACAGACTTTGAAGTGAGTATACACAGGAAAATCAATTAAAATGTAGGTCCATATACAATTCAAATTAAAGTTGATGGAACCTGTAAAGCAGATTTTCCCAATAGCCAGGGGGCGATAACGCCCCCTCGTGGGCGCTGCAGGCCTAAACCGGGGCGGTAAGAAACCCAGAAAAAAGAGGGCATTGTGTAGAGATTCAAGAAGATATAAATTGAGACTTGTGTACTATTGCGCTCAGGACTCAGGTTAACTCTTGTGGGTTATAGTAAAAGTCTTGTTTAGTATGAATGTTTAATCTCCGCTAATAGGTATAGTTCACAACAATTAATTTAATTTGAAGTGATCTTAAGTAGTTTAAAAAACTTGGGAAATAAGTTTGCAGACAAGACAGAGTGCAGGACTACTGACTGCACTAAAAATAGATAGATAACTCTTTATTTGTTATGTATGTATAAGTAGGTAGGTGTAGTTATAAAGTAATTAACTTCACTTCACTGCTTTTTATGATGATAAAATAATGTGAGTAGGTAGTTGGATCACCACATAAATTCACTCTGTATCAGCTAATGAGCTCTATATAAGATTATTGTTTACTGTGTGTTTCAATTCTATAATATTATTAACAACTCATTATTTTATTGTATGTTACACTACATAAAATAAAATAACAAACAAACAAATAAATAAAAAACATATTCTTTCCTTCAACTTAGTTTGATTATTGCAATAAATTCCTCTAATAGTACAATAATGCATAAATGAAAAAAAAACATGTTAACAAAATTCCATCCCACAGGCCATGCACAAGAATATATGTAACTGTATTTGATGCAAATGATTAAACATCAACAAGTTTCAGAATATACATTAATATTAAAAAAGTGGTTCTATAATTTTCTTAGTAGGGTGGAGGTACCAATTATCACCCATTTCAACTCTTTTTTGATATTTGACTGCTGGTAATTTTTATATTAATAATAAATAGCATTTATGCAATGCCTTTTGAAGTAATGAGATAATGAAAATCTATTATATCATTTGCAAAGTTACAAATCCTTTATTAATTTTGATAGTTTTTTTCCGAGTAAGATGATTTTCCCTAATATCAAGCTCTAACACCCTTACAACTGCCGCATATGACTCTGATATCAGTATACTGTTTCAAAATAGTTTTGTTAATTTATATTTTCAAATCCTCAAAATGGTTTTATGTCTGTATTAGAAATCAAAATGGTAAATATCATAATAAAAATAAAGGAAGGAACCACACACCTAAATATTATAAATAATTACCTAATAAAATCAACTGAAAACTTAACATTACTCATAAGATCTTCAATTGAAATGCACCAAACAGTGATTACATTTACAATCTTTTTAGTCACATCAATATATTGTGTTTTATCAATTTTTAGATTGGAAATGGACTACTGCTACACTGATTAACCTTAAAGAAAAATGCTCAAAACATTGATCAATCACAGGTACCTCATTGGGAAAGGTTTTAATTTTTTTTTGACATTCTTTTTTTTTTTTGAAGGCTTGATTTTGGCGACAAAATCTTATGCGAGCAGCATATAAATGTTTTCTTAAAGCTGGTGAGACACCATACCCATAAGTTGTCTTGGACATTTTAGATTTTGGATGACTGCAAACTGGGGAATATTTTTTCGAGCTAATATTGATGCCGCTAGGGGAAAGCAAATAGTCCAATGCAATATCAGTGATTACGAAAGAAGGTACACAATATTAAAGTGATCATTAATACACAATGCTTCCCTGTATATCAGCTGTAGCTGTTAAAATTTATTTTAGGTGGGCTGTGATTAAAATTTTAGCCAATATCAATCACTTGACCGATATTAAGATTTATCAATAATACAGATCCCTAATCAAGGCCATAATAAAAATATTCTGCCTAAACAGTACTTTAACTCTTTTTCTTCAAAAACAAATAAAGTAAAATAACTCAAATATATTAAATCCTATTCAAATACATATCAATGCAATGTATTGACTCACAGATTTGACTAGGTATCATCACCAAATGACATATTTTAACACCTGCCCCTGCTTTATTATCAACTGAATGTTCAAATGTTGGAATGACAACACCAAGATATGGGAAATTATTTGTAAGGATATAGAGGTACTTTCAGAGTAAAAAAAATTATACATTTAGGACTACTTTTATAATTATGTTCCATTTTTTCAATTGGTTGATATTAGAGAGAGGCCTAAACTAGGAGACTCCACCATATTGCTTTTTTTGGTGGTGTTAATATTTACTTGTATTCAATGTGTTAAGGATTCTGCAGACAGATAATGAAATGCTGGTATAGACCACTCGGTAATAGTAACACTAGCAGTGGAAATAGTATACACACAAAGTTATGTGTAAACACTACGGTGACTAAAATATATTCTTATTAAATATTCTTAAGAATTTTCAAACCAAATTTTAAACTTATCATTTTGAATAATGGTTTAGAAGAACATTAAAAAAAAAAAATGAGAGATCATTTTTATGTTCAAGTATGAAGTGAATCAATATCCAAATCAAATCAAAAGGTTGCTTACTTGTGTTTTCTGATAGCAAACAATAGAAATAAGTAGGTTATAATAGCATCAAAATAGTAGGTCTACCTTCATTCCTTGTAGTTTACAAATATATGTAATATACTAAGGTATATAACAAAAAGAACTTAGTATTTCGTAATGCGACAATATTTCAAAGAATGACGAGAACGCTAGATAGCGGCCGTTTAACAATTTTTGCTAACTTACCTATTTGAGATTTGCTGGTCTCATGAAGAGCTTTGGATGTCAAGTACTCTTCAAATTTTTTGTCGATATATGAATTAATCTTCTTTGCAACAGGATTAGGTATGCTAGCATATTCTGGTTCAGATAAAACATCGCTGAGATGATTTTTCGCACCGGCTTCACCACTTCCAGCTTCCATTTTTATCAAAGAGCATCAAGGAAAAATATGAATAAATGATTTTTTTTTTAACCACAGAACAGAACCAACTAGTCTAAGATCTATTAATATAAATTGGTCTGCGTTGGACTTGGTTTAGTTGTAAGTCCAAAAAGTTATTTTTGAAATATCAATTCTTTCAGCTATCGATATAATATTAACACTCAAAAACATAATTGTACTCGTGATTCGTCTTCAAGATTAGTACTAATCTATATTTATGAACACAATGTGGTAAGGCGTAAGTGGTTCCACTTCAGCATAAAAATAAAGAAATTTTGCAATAGCAATACTGTGGTTTTCTGGTTGGCGCCCGCCATTAATTTAAAAGGAAAATTCGATCTGTCTGTCGTGTCTGTTTCCCGCGCTCCTGTAATCGTAGTTATGGTGATAGTTGCTCTAGTGTTTTAAATCGTGTAATGGTCTCCTACGTGAAGTTGGCAGTAATGTGGTGAGGCAAAGTGCCATTAAAGTTAAGAAAAAGAAGAAGATGCTCTAGTGTTTTTTTTTTAGAGAAAGAACAATCTCAAGGGAGAATTGGTAATAATAACTTCTGTGTTTGTATAATAACAGAATGCTGTGAAATTGTTAAAAGTAGCAGTAATATTACCGTGAAATAATTTATATAAAAAAATACTTATGATGGCATAGGTCTAAGCATTTTTCATTATAATATTTAACAAAAATTTTTATAGGTAAATTAGTTTTGTTGCTCTTAGTTGATAGTTGAACTTACAGCAACAAAAAAGTTTCAATAATGTTTTTATATTACGTGTGGTAAATGAATGAAGAGGGTTTATTAATCAGTAATGAAGGTCATAAAAACCATAATTATAATAAAAAAATCCGTTTATTATCAATATACACTTCGTATAAAATAATATGACTCTGGCTAGAATGACGTTTGTGCTACTGCACACTGCACGTTGATATCATTTCTAATTTTTCTTTTTAATCTACGATCAGTTATTAAATCTTATATTCATAATGAAACTCTCTTAATAAAAATTCAACATTTAACAAGAAATGAACAGCAAGGTTATAACTTTAAATTTCACGTACAGTTATTACTAAGTTATAACTTGTATGTCGATGGCGGACGTCGAGCCAGGAGCTGTATTAATTCGTACGGTGGGTATGATCTTTTTTTCTTATTATATTATTGTTAATAATAGATTGACTTCCTACACAATCTACTTTAGAAATCAGTTTTTGAAATATATTATTTACTAAGTAACTAGAGTTGTCATGCTCTCTTAAAAATCTCTGCGGTGGTATCGTGTGCGTCAGGTCATTATGTTCCCTGAAATATAGTTGAACGAAGCATTGGCTGGCTCATGCTTTAATCTCGTGAACGGGTGCTGCCAGTGGGATTGAATCTGCACTGGACTACTTGATTTTGTCAATGTTCTTTTATTATGAATATTGTATATTCAATGAGTATGTATGACTCGGAAACCGGCATATTAATCAGTAATCGAAAAATATCTTTCTTTTTGAACCGTTGGCATAGTTTTCAACTTTCACAAGAACTTTTGATATTTATATAGCCCAGACTTTTGATATTTATATTATCATTTAACGTGTTCATTGTTCTTCATTCCAAACCTGAATTCGGATGAATCAAGTCGATCGAACTTACGAGCAATAAGTATATTGGCTCATCACTAATGTTGTCATAGTATAAACCAAACATCGTTCCATGTTCCTTTTCACGTAACATAATAAATAACTAAAACATACGATTCACATAAATTAAATTAAATTTATAAGTTAGATAGTATAAGAAACATGAAACGATGTCATATTTATTAATTTTAGATACTCAATATACTTTTATTACATCAGATTTATTTTAATGAATATGTGGCGATGTTACTGCGATGAATTAGATGTCGCTATGTATCAATAGAACGTCCAACCTACATCGGTTGGACCGCGGTCCCCGGGCTAACAACACCTAGCTCGGAGGGAGACAATTATCCTTTAGTCTCCCTAGCCAGTTGTCTCCGTCACCACAGTAGGGACCTACATTCAATCTTACAGTTCCTAAAGTGGTGACCCCAGCAGAACATCAGCAACCTTCAGCATCACAACGCAGCCATCACTCTTCATCAACAGCCTCTCACTCTTCATCATCAGCTTCTCATCCCTCATCAGCACAGCCACTTCAGCAGCAAGCCAGCCAACACCAAGGTCCATCACAGCAGCATCGACGACGCTTCCTGGATTCTTGGTACCACACGACGGCATCATCCCGACCTGGTCCTCGTAGCCCACGACCAGACCTCAGTTCACACACAACTCACCGGCGTGGCAGCCCTGCACACCAGCAGCTTCGGTCCCGACGTCACAACTATGGCACTTGCAAGCTCTGAAGCACTGACTGCATACCACCTACTATCAACATGGATCGACCTTCGGTCTAGGGGGAAAGTACTGTGGCGACTGATACATAGCGACATCTAATTCATCGCAGTAACATCGCCACAACAATCGATAGCGAGAAGACAAGCATCGTCACAGCCATCGATAGCAAGACGAATTGCAAGAAGTTTCAACACCAAGTAACGAGACGGCGCTGTACCAATACGAACATCATAAATTAATAACTACAAGATATTTAGAACAAAGAAACCTACATCACACAGAATAAGTTTAATTACCAATTAACATAAATAGAACGTCCAACCTACATCGGTTGGACCGCGGTCCCCGGGCTAACAACACCTAGCTCGGAGGGAGACAATTATCCTTTAGTCTCCCTAGCCAGTTGTCTCCGTCACCACAGTAGGGACCAACCTCCAACCTTACGGTTCCTAAAAATATCTTAGAAAATGTTTTAGAATAGCGGCTTTTAGATCGGGACTATATCGTAAATTAGAATCTTATTCGATAGATTGAAATACTTTGGAGTAACTTCCCATGAATCACGCCGTAAGCAACATGATTTATATAATCTACATAAAACTATTCATTCGGGATTCGACTCTCCATACTCGCTTTCTTGGTTAAACTTCAACGCTAGGTTGCTATCTCGACATATGCGTTTGCATTACAGGCATATAAAATAATACTTCTTATTATCAGACAATCAATAAACAAGACAGTCAAAATGCTTAAATCGATTTACAGACTAACAGCCAGTTTCTGATTTGAAAAAAGTAGAAAATCTCTACTGCTTATTCTCAATAACCTAAGTTTTTTTAATTTCACAAGTCAAATAGTCCAAGTTTTATCAAACTGCTATCAACTGATCATTAAAAAACTAAAATCGGAGACGAAAACTAAGTGATGCTAGTTTGAGTTTGTGATGCTTTAAATTCTCAATTCAGAAACCGAGTGTAAAGTTTTAATATCGACATTGTAATCCGTTTTCAGATACCAAAGACTGGTTGGTTGCCAACTACGTTTCGATATACTAAAACTGGTAGTGTGGATATGATATTCGCTTCTTCTCTTTTTGCTCTACAGTATTTAAAAGAGAAGAGGCGAATTTCAAGCTAAAACGTTTTGAGATAGGTACGATATGGTTTCGTAGATTTGTGTTTTGTATTTAGGTAGTTATGAGAAAATTACCGTTTTCTCAAATAAATAATATGAGTTATCAATATGACATAATATTACAACTGATACTGTTTTTTTAGATACGTTTCGATATATCGAACTTATGCCTATATTTGTGTCACATCCCTAAATTTTGTTTTGCAATCAAAGTTGCTCAAGAAAATCGTGTTAAGAAATCTTATTGACTATTTAATTACTTGTGAGAGTTATTTTAACTTACTTTTAAGTTGCAAATAGCGTATTATAATTTTTCATGATCAATGTTATTTTGTTGTGATTTTTAACGATATGGAAGAAGAACAATGCTTACATGAATGTGAAAGCTACGTACAAAGTCACAATATTCAGCTCTTACTCAAAGATTGCATTGTACAGCTTTGTGTAAATAAACCAGAAAACCCTGTTCCATTTTTGAGACAGTATTTTCAAAAATTAGAACGCGTAAGTTTTATCTTATATATTCATCTTTTGCCATTAATTCAACATTGTGGAATCGCATCTTCAGTCTCAATCATATAGATTGAAGCCCAACCAAAGTTTCGGCACTTATATTAAATTATAATAATAAAATAGTGTTTTATTAAATTACTGTTGATGAAGTGCAAAACTTACACACCATAAATATAAAAAAAAAGAAGTAGAATGAGTAGCATGAAATGGACTATTTTCAATAGATAGATAGATAACACTATTTTTAACCCCAAAAACAAAACATTCATAGAACAAAAAACAACATTATTAAGCTGTGTTTCACAATCAGCAGTCTTATCACAACAGCAATCTAATCCAGACAGCCTTTGGATGAAGAGATGAACTATCTTACAAGAGGTGTATAATAGTCTTATGGTTATAGTAATATATAAATATTCATTAAACAAAATACATATATTTATATAGGTGTATAAATATGATATCCAAATAAATATAAATGTCAAAGAAAAAAAAAGGAAGCAATTAATTTGCAATAAATTAATGTGTTAGGTAGAATTCATCACATACATTGCTCAGATCTCAAATTGTATTGATCCCAGAGAAGATAAAGCACTTGTATTATGGAAATCTCAAAGGAGGAACATAACACAATACCTACACCAACATAGTAAGAACCATTATTTTTCTACAATCACTTAAAGCAAAAAGAGATGCCTTGATGTTAACCCAATCTTTAACATGTGTAGTAGACGTCTTTCCACCTTCTGTTTGAGTGTCCTTATTTCTTAACACAGCTCGCTCACAGCTAAAGTGATTCGCTTACTCCACTTTTATATTGGACTGCATAGCATGTGTTGGGACCATCCCCATTTTAAATGGTTTATGGGTTTAAGTATATCAATCACTTTAGATCTACTGAAGATGGTTGTATTTTGAATCATGTCTTGGAGCTTTATTCTCAGCATACTTCGCTCCATAGCTAGTTGACATCTTGCCAGTTGTTCTCTGTGGTTGGCTGTAAGGGTCTTGCAGCCGTAAGTGAAACGTGGATCAATACATGTGTTGAATGTCTTTGTTTTAATGTGTGTTTAGTGCCCAATATTTTTTCCAGCCATTGGCTATTCTTCTGTCAACTTCTCTGGACATGACCTTTTGGGTATATTAGTTGACCTAAATAAACATGCTGCTGAACATAACTTAAGGTATTACCGTTCAGTACAATATCCTTCACAATACCTTCACAATGTTTGTCATTAATTAAGATTTAATTGTATTTACTTTGAATCCAACTTTTTACTTTTTTTGATGTAGTAGGCTTATGATATTAAAAAGTTATTGAAGAGAAATTGTCACTTCAACTGTATATTTGACCTATAAAACAACTTTAAATAGTGAATCTGTATCTATTGGGTGGAGTAAGTGTTAGTTTAAAAATATGGTGAATATGACAGGAGCAGGTTAAGGCTGCCGCAGCTGCTGCAGCTGCATCAGAAGGTGAGGCTGATGGTGAATTATCACCTTTGCCAGTTCCTAGTGTTCAGCCATCACGACGACGAGGCGGCATCAGTGCCGAGCCTGTTACAGAAGAAGATGCTACTAGCTATGTAAAAAAGGTGTATAAAAATTTTTGTACATAATCTCTTTTCACATATTATATTCCCACAAATGAATGTGCGGTTATTCAGATTAAATACCTGTATTTTTCCTCAGTTACATGAAATTATCAAAAAGTTTATCTAGTTGTTGGACTAATTTACAGGTTGTGCCGAAAGATTACAAAACCATGGGTGCTCTATCTCGAGCAATAGCTTCAAATGTGTTATTCACGCACCTTGATGAATCAGAAAGGGCAGACATGTTTGATGCAATGTTTCCAGTACAATGTCTTCCAGGTGAAACAGTAATCAGGCAAGGGGATGAAGGAGACAACTTTTACATAATTGACTCTGGTGAAGTTGAAGTATGATATTTGATTTTTATTGTTTTAAAATTACATATAGTTTTTGAAAACTTAATGCATTTCCTTTGATAGAAAGTATGTAATGAAACTGTCTAAATATAATAGATTTTTATTTTTAATGAAAAATGCTAAAAATATCCACCCGGATTGTGAAAGATCATGGGTTTGAGTCCTATCTCAGGGTGCTTGGGACTGGTGGTTTCTATTGTATTCTATTAGTTAAATAAAAAATGTCCCTTAATTATTAGGTTTTAGTAAATGGTGAACCAGTGACAACAATTGGCGAAGGTGGTAGTTTTGGTGAGCTAGCCCTAATATATGGGACGCCGCGTGCTGCTACAGTGCGAGCACGAACACTCCTAAAACTGTGGGGTCTGGACCGTGATTCGTACCGACGGATCCTTATGGGCTCCACAATCAGGAAGCGGCGAATGTATGATGAGTTCTTGTCGCGGGTCTCTATACTGGGTATAGTTTTATTATGCTTTATTAAACATTATTTTATATCAATATTTATTTTATACCCAAGTAGATCTTATATGTCCATTGAAAGTGTGAAAAATTAAACTTCTAAATTAACAAGAAATAAAGACATTTCCATTTACACCACGAAAACCGCATTTGATCCACATAAGGGGCCGCCCATTAATCTCATGATGTGTTTTTCAGTATTTTTAACCCCCATCCCCTTTGGTGAGATAAGCGGTGAAGTTTACGCTCCATCCAAATCACGTGTATTTTTAGTACCTACAAAAAATCTTAATTTTTGTCGTCGCTTTTCGGATTAGTAATCGCGCTTTTGAGGAAAGAGTAAATACATATATTACTACATTACCCCATGCGATATTTCGTGATTTTTTACGAACCCCCTCCCATTCCCTTTCGAACCTCATGTGATTTATGAACAGCCCCTAAGGGAAACACTATTTAATAGTTTTTACTGTTAAATTTGGCAGAAAGCATCGTTATCAAAGAAAAATTCCTTGCACTTGTACTTTAGTGCAAGGAATTTTTCTTTGATTACTAATAAAAAATGAATTTCAGAAAGTTTGGAAAAATGGGAAAGGTTAACAGTGGCAGATGCATTAGAGCCTGTCTCTTTCACTGATGGCGAAATAATAGTTCGCCAAGGTGAACCCGGAAACGACTTTTACATCATTGTAGAAGGTAAATTAATATTGATCACAAATGCAATTATTAGTATACTATTTCGTTGTAATTTTGAGCATTGTTGTAGCATTTTTCAGCTATAGGTATTTTTAAAAAAGAAATGAACCAATCGCATTTTCGCATAAGGTTACTAGTGCACAATATTAACGTTTATTTTATTTATATGTCTAGCAATACAGTATTGACTCCCTAATCCTCGTCACCGACTGACAATCATCCCATTTATATGATGCCTAAACTCGTGATATGTTTTTCAACAGTTAAGAATGTATTTCTGTATATTATTACCCACTTGCGTACAATCACTAATGAATCAGTTACATAGGCCGATGTCATGGGCGTGCGGAGTGCGAGTCATTTCAGTTCTTACTCAGTTCCTAGTTTACATTGATGGTTTATTGTTTTATTCACCAACGAGATCGGCCGTAATCACCACACTCACTACATCGAACAATGTTACTGAGGCATTCGCACTTACAACCGTGTGGAACATACTTTAGGTTGTGCGGTAGTACTTCAGCAGCGCAGTGGTCAGGGCGAGTCTGTGGAAGTTGGACGGCTGGGACCATCCGACTACTTCGGGGAGATCGCCTTATTACTGGACCGACCAAGAGCCGCCACCGTGCGCGCCGCTGGCAGTCTTAAGTGTGTCAAACTAGACCGCGCCAGGTGAGTGATGGATAACAGTAATATTTTTTTTTCTTAATAAATTATTATAGCTCCCGTAGGCAGTGAAAATGACTAGAAGTTGAAATTGGACTTTTGGCCTAGGATATGTCGATTAGAGTATTAACAAACCTTGTGGTTACGAATTGAGATCTATATGTTAACAAAAAAAATCTGCACACCAGCTTGGCAGCAGTTTTATCAGGGACTGGTTTAACTTATTTTCTATGGATATTTTATTATGTGTCGCTATTATTTTGGTTCAAATATGAAGGTTAATTGAAAATTTAACAAACTTCAAAACACACAATATTGTAGTGTACAGTAGTATATTAGAAATATAATTATAGCAAGAAAAATGTTTACATAGGTCCACAAAATAAAAATAATATTTTTGGTGCTGTCATTCCAATAATAGGCCCTCTACATAATCGTTGGTTGCGATTTGATGGCACTCAGCCACCATGATTTTTGCAGCTGTCCACACGATCGACCACCCCACATTTGATAATTGTCATCTGAACGATATAGATGTTGAAATAGTTGCATCTGCCGCTAATTATCCTGTTATTATGGCATCGTAAAACGCTACATGTTGGTGAATCTTGAGATTTATTCTTTATTTTATAATGAAGCGATGTAGTTTCCGGCTTTTACCGTGGGTGTTTAGAACATGACAAGTTCCGACATTATTATCATCGTTGGTACAGTGCCACAAACTTATCTGACCCGGTGGCAGCGTCGCTGTTGTTGAATTCGGTACTGACACTAAACAATATTTCTTCAATTTTTAGGGTAATCTCTTTAGACCATGCACGATTATCACCGATCATGGGCCATTATAGGCGAACACGCCCTTAATGCAATGGTGATGGTCTTTGATTGTCGATCATGGCCGATTGTGGAGAGGGCTCATAATAAATCATGCAGAGGAACAATTTTTATTTGAGACTGCAAATTTTTCAATTTACCTTCGTACTTTCATTTGATATTAATTAATTAACAATCTTATCACTCTCATTTTTCAGATTTGAAAGAGTGCTGGGTCTATGTGCTGACATCTTGAAACGAAATATTGCACAATATAATAGTTTTGTATCTTTATCTGTGTAACACGTGTTCAAAAAGTGTAATTGTATGTTTGTTATATAATTTATTTATTTGGCTGAATACGAAAATATTGGTATTTAATAACTTATATAAAGCGAAGAGCTTTTCCAGAAAATATTAAGTCTATATTTTAATATTTAAGAACAATGTAAATATATACCATGTCAGATCTCGCCAGATAGAACTAATATTATACTGATTGGGAATATTTGTATGAAAACTTGAAATTCTTTCATTTTCTTGACAATAAAATTCAAATCAAAAATAAAAGAATCAAAACCGTTTGTTGCTATTTTGATAAAAGTACAGAATTTATCTTACAAATGACGTTATAAATAATCAAGAGAAGTGGTTTATATTATTTTAAAATTGAATAGTTACCTGAGAATAATTTATAATTACCCCACTTCGGCGAAGCGACAAAGAGGGTTATTATTTTGGCCGGTATATATGTATGTAAGAATGTTCATCTGTTCCCTTATAACTTCGAAACTACTCATCGTAACTGGGCAAATGAGGTATCACTAGAAACGTCTTAGTTCTCCGCATGCTATAGGCTTTGTGACTTTTCATTAAATTGGCAACAGCGCCCTCAAAGTAAGACACAAAAAAAATATGTTATTCAATCATTCCGTGTAGGGTAGGGTATCTTTTGCTTAAATATACCCGAAAATTAATTAAATAAAAAATTAAGTTTAAAAACTAAAGACTCTCTAAAAAGTTTGAAACAACAAATTTATTTTATAGCGATGACCAAATGACAGCATAGTCGGATGCCACATCCGTTTGTTTTGTTATGATCAGTGTCGTACGTCATCGCTATTATAATATAGCTACCGCTATAAAACAAAACTCTTATTTCAAACTTTCTAGAGCGTGATTTAGCTGTAGTCAAATTTTAGTTATTGAACTTTTTTTTATTAGAAATGGATCAAATTGGGTGATTATAAGTAACTTAAAAAAGGCCTTTCAGCCCTAAAACATTTACGTTATAAATACTCACATAGTGTGAACGCTTTCCATTTCAATTTTGCTAATTGTATAAAAATTACATTGTGCTATTCCAATTCTTAATATCCAGTATTTGAACCCAAGCATCTTGTAAACTCAATTTATGAGGAAGACGTGTAATTGAAACGGCTATTACAATTATTCCATTTTTTATTAATATATAAATTTCTATACATCATTACTTATATATTACATAAAAAATAACAACATTATAACCCATAATATAATATTAAATACTTCATCTGGCTTATCATAAAAGTTTATTCTTTCATTAAAAGAAAATTAATGCTACAAATGCGCCTGAGAGCCACCGGCTACAACTATTGTTTCACCTGTCATGTAACTAGCGTCTTCAGATACCACGAATGCTACAGTACCCGCTATCTCTTGAGGTTTTCCAAATCTCTTCATAGGCACAGTCTCTAAAGCACGTTCTTGAGCCGATTCCGATTCAGTTAACTGTAAAATATATTAAATTAACGACGATTCAATGACATCAACGCGTCCTGAAGAGCGACTCCGTAAAAATCCGAACCCGAATTCAAATTCACTTATGTATTCGAATTCACGTCAAAAATGACGTAACAAAAAAGTCTATAAATTACATTGATTCCATTTTTGTATCAAATACTAAACAAAATTTTTTGATTTACGTATTGTAGATGAAAGGTTAATAAAAATTCAAGGTTCAACGGATGTCGCTTTATAAGTGAATTTGGAAACCTGCCCTGCCGATTCTATAAAAATCCAAACCTGAATTCGCTCAGGTATTTTCACATTCACATCAAAAAGCGGCATCTGCTCAATCTTGAATTGGTAATAACGTTTCGTGGCATAAGTGAAGTGAGTTTCGAGATGACATAGGAATAGAATATTCAATTAATTTTGTTTCGTATTTTTGTATAAAGAATGGAATCGTTAAATTTCTACACTAGATTACGTTAATTCGGACACATGAGTAAATCCGAATACGGGTCTGGATTTTTTACAGAATCGGAAGGGCAAATCCTGATATTCTTCACCTAGTAAAACCGGCGGCAGACTTTAAGAGCAGCATTTAAAGTTATACGTATTCCACACTTACGTATTTGAAATCAATCATATTTTTTTCTACGAACATATTTAACATATCATATTTTTTTCCATTCATTATAACATTAGAAAAAAGAGGATCTCAGAAGCAGCAGTGCAGAACATTTTATTAACAAGATAAATTTAAAAAATATTTATAATAGTTTTGTTGAAATTTTGAACTTTAGGTAGTCTGAAAGAGTTGGGCAATTTTACATTTTCTCGGGGTTGAGATGAGACTAGCATTTTCTAAATTCATCTTTTACTGAGAGCCAACATGGAAATAAAACTATCTATCTGTTTTGATTGTTTCTAATTGTAAGTGAATATAATTAGAATATAATTTAGTTATATCTATGTCCAGAAAATAAAGGTAAACAAAATGAAATTTTTATTATTACTGTTATAACATTTATTTAGATATTATTAGACTATTGATTAAGACATTGGAAAAACTTGCGGAAATGTTAAAGGTAATTGTTGTAGGCCACTCGGGCCTGCACCGGAATCGCAATTTACCAAAACTTAACAACAAAAAGATAACAACTAAAACAAAACTATAAGAAAACAACAATAAAACAGTAATTAGGTACTCAATGACCGAAAATGGTAAAACAACAAGAAAGGCAGTTTTATTCACAATGAATGACAATCCCAGATTACGTATTTTGACTATTATGAATAAATCATAATCTGACAAAATTAAAAAGCTGTACTGCCGAAACGTTTGAAGGGATTAGGCAACGTTTTAAATTTGGTAAAGTTATAGTGACATGAGAACCGTGCCGAAACTATCTAACCCTGCTTCTTTAGGTTCTTTAAGGCAAACACTTTTTATTGTAATAATTATTAAATGTTTTAAGTCAGTCAAATACTCATAAATTTGTTTAATATATAGCTTAAAAAGACAACGGTTAAGTATAGCAGCTAGTATTTAAGTGGATATGTAGCAAATTAGCCGTTAGTCTTAAAAGTAACATGATTGTTGACAGTTTGTCACAAAGTATACCATAAAAAGAACCTTATTTTAATTCTGTCTAATGCTATAATGAATGGAGTATAGGTAGTATCGTTAATAGAATTGGTTCCTACTCTTTAAATGTTAGTAAAATATATACTTACAAAAGATGCAAATTTCGTGGCAACTATTCCCGGGGCAACGCAATTCACTCTTATGTTATCGTGCACAAGTTCTGTGGCGAGTGCTTTGGTTAGTCCCAGCAATGCCGTCTTACTTACTCCGTAAGGTCCCAAAGGCTGTAATATAATTAAATATACGCGTTAAAGAAAACTTCAATGATCCGTGCTCATATTAAAATATTTACGTGAACTGAAGACGGAATTATATGTATTATGAAGAAAAAGCAGTTCGGTTTCAAATATTTAGAATGGATTAGCCCCATTAAGCATCTCGAGCAAATGATTGGTGAACGTCGTCAATACTCTGAAATATCTCAAATTCTATCGAAGTGAGTGAAATAAAAGTTCGTGGTACAGAAGTCATAGTCACAATTTTTTTGACATGTAATTGAAACTAATACGAACTGTATTTGTAGTGTGCCTACTACCTAGATGACTAGTTAGCAGGCACACAAAAATCTTGCAATATCTCCTTATTCACAGTGTCACTAATAATATGCTGTGTATCACTATTGTCACTATTTACTCACAATTTATTGACATACGTAAGACCTTCAAACTCGTTGGTGTGCCTGCTACCTTGACATTCACAATGTTTAAAACTAATTTAAATTAAATGTAAACGGTACGAAGTTCGCCGGGTCAGCTAGTCTCTGATAAAAAATATTGTATTTTTTTTTTCGAGATTTTAGACTGTATACGAAGCCTGCGGGCACTAGAAAATGCAAGCGCTTTACTTATATGTAATTTTAAGAGTAGCGCAAGCTATACATTTTTTTTATTTGAATTGGGGTCGCTTAAACATTCTATCTATATTAAATGATATATTAGCTATAGAACTTATGGAATCTAGAAACATTGTGGAATAGTGTGAATTTAAATTACGCCAATGACCAAATGTCAAATAGTCATAAATATTCGCTAAAGGCAGATAAACAATTGCTTGTAGTTCTTATAATAGTTGCCACCTTTGATATGTCTCACTTATCTGATAATGGAGTTATCACGAATCTAATATAATAAGTAGATTCAGTTAATTTATTTCCTACATTTGTTAGCGAAACATCTTATCAAAGTAAATAGAAAATTCTATAAGAGATATAGGTGCCAATTCTGTTGTGTTCCAAATTATATGATATTATATATTCCAAATTTATATATAATTATATATATATGATATTCCAAATTTGGGGATCAAACCTAAATTTAGTTTAATCCGCGCAAAAACTGCTACCAGTACGTAATAAAATAAAATTCAAATTTATAAGATCGTAATTTTTATTTTATTGATAACTATGGATTTTTACTACAATAAAGAGTATATTATCATCCCTACTAATGAAATAAATTGCGGAAATAAATCTGTCTATTACACTTTCAAGCCTAAACCACCGGATCTATTAAAATAAAAGTAGAATATGTATCTACGTGAGGATGAAAAAGGAAATGAAAATTAGGTTGGTCTGTATGAAATATGAAACACATCTGTTTATCTTTATTATATTTCTTTTTCCTATTTATTGCAAACGCCTTAAGATAATTTAAAATGCGGAAAAGCGGACGAAAACGCGGCCTTGCGGCCAAAAGCTAGTCTATAATCTATATTTTTATGTTATCACTATACATAGTTTTATAAATCTTTATGGTTATGTAAAAGAATAATAATCCACGCATTATGATAACATGAAACAAAATGATAAAATGGTTTAGAACTACGTTTTGTTAGATAAATAGTTTAGAACCGATACCTATATCGGTTTAAAGTCCAATTCGTTAAATAATATAAAGGTGGTTTCTAATTTTCACCTTAAATACAGCGTTCACTTCGAAAATAAATAAATAAAATTGACCATTCTATCAACTATTAATGATTTTATAACAAATCTCCACAACAAACCTATACTTTGTCTTGGGATTCACGACCTAGCACAGGGGGCCAATTCTACTAAATAAATTTTGTTTGAATCGAATCGAAACCAACGAAACTAGTTTTTAATGGTTTTTCTATTCTACTAAGTGACATACGATACAATTCCAGCTAAAATTCGATTCGATTTAAACAAAATTTATTTAGTAGAATTGGCCCCCAGTTGACGAATTCTGGCAAAATGCAAGTAGTTGAGATTCGATTTTTACGTAAAAGTTAGTAGAATTGACCTACAAGTTTCGGCAACCTACGAATCGCGAGCAACATTTCTTTGCACGTAAAATTGCGGCTCTTTAGTGCAATCCACAAAAATCATTTCGCTGTCGAAACCCTTTATCCAGTTGTGTACCCATACTGTAATGCAGGGCCGCCACACCTCCAAGTCGGGCCCGGGACCAGATTCTGGCCACGCCCCTCCCCCCCTTTTTTTTCGTAGCGCCACTTTTACTAAAGATGGTTATAATAATATAAAACTATTAAACCTTCTCTAACTCTACTACTTACCAAACAATAAATCATTTATATTTCCTACCGAGGTTCAGTGTTCGAATAAGAACACTTGAGGGGGCTGAACTCTTGCATCACTATGTTTTATTTTACATTTAATTTAATTTGAATCAAATAAATAAAAGAAAGTATAACTTAAGAATTGAAAATTCAAGTATTCATAATACCAACCAATTATTTAATTACCAAGTAATTACCAATCAATTAAAAACCATAAAAATGCCATAAATTAGCAAGAAACGAAAATTCTATTATTTTTTATTCGATTTTTTATTTTAACTACTTTAAATACAATTATTGATGAATAGAGGGCGTATTTAGAGAAGTTCCAATTTACTCATTCCACAAAGGTACGATTGTGGCAGAAATTATGATTGACTAAATTTTATATAATCATTAATCAACACATATAATTAACTTTATTTTAATGTTATGGACCGATTAAAAAGGAAAGTCTCTGTATAAGTATACAATTTAATTTTATCAGGGCCCATCAAGTGTAATAGACTCTGTTTTATATATGCCTAAAAATTCTAAAATACTTTATTTACTAAATACAGGACCGGATCCGGCCCCCCCTGGGCCCGGTTCCGGGGCAACAGTACCCACTTGCCCCCCCCCCCCCCCCCATGTGGCGGCCCTGCTGTAATGCGATTGAGATATACGTCTGACTATGACTGAGAGATATATTATATGTTCAAAGTCGTATATCTAATACAGTCCCGCTGTCTGTGCACCTGTAGTACATAATGCGGTATTTATCAATATGTGATATATAATAGATATAGAGTGGTTGAAAAGGTACGTTTATGTGTATAATACAGGGATTTTAGAGATTTAAATAATATTTGAACGCAATCTTTCAATGGCTCTTTAAAGCTTTTTTTTATTATGGATTTTGGCTTTTTCGCCTCATAACGTTGTCAAACGGACGAGCTCCTCTGTATATCATATAATGCACTCTTATAATTAACATTTCTGGTTCGTACGGCCGGTTTCTGAGTTGAGAAAGGTGCAAAATGTTAAGTGATTATTCTCAATAACTGAAGTTTTTACGTTTTACATAGCAAAAAGTCCTGGTTTTTTACAAACTGCTATCAACTGATCATTAAAAAAAATTAAATCTTAAACGATGTTTGAAATGGCTTAAGTACGGTTTCAGTCGTGCTTAACTTTAAATTCACATTTCAGAAATAAGTTTATGCTTTCTTTGCATGTCTAAAACATGTCGCTTCCGGGCACGTCCGTCAGATAACCTTATTTGCCAGTTAACCTGCGTGGAGAGGAGTTCCGTGTCAACGTCAATTTAAGTACGTTAGCCTTACCTTAAAACTATAATCGTATAATTTTAGGTATTTAAGCGATTATTAATTAGTGAGTCAAACATTTTACTTACATGAGGATAACGTAACAAAATAAGCAAGTCATTATTATATTTAAGATAATATAGGTATCTTAAATAAAACGTCGGCGACGATGCTTATTTAGGAAGCAAGTCATCATTATGTTTAAGTAGTAGATAATAAATGTTGTAAATGACTTGCTTATTTAAGGGCCCTATTATTACTATTGCGTCACATTCTTGATCTCGGAATCAAAAAATATATTCATCATTTTAACTTATTGAATAGTACAGAATTCGTGGGGGCTTCGTTTTTTGTAAACTTTTCAGTGCCCCTTTAAGATTTTCATTAAATGCGATGACTTTTTTGGACTACTGATCTAAACGAATGAACCAACAACAACAAAAGCCACGACATTTATTGATTAAATATAGAATAAAAAAATATGATAAACCAAAAACTTCGAAAATGGCTTTAAGTTAACGGTGAATATCATTTCCGCATTGGATATAATCGATATGAAAAAAGTCTATGTCCTTCCCCAAGGCTCAAATTACCTTTTTATTAAGTAGGTATTATCGCAATCTATAGGTAAGGGATATTTATCCTTAAAAGTATGACGAATATAAAATAGTGTAGTATAAATCAGGTAGGTACAGTGCACTTACAAAAATCGGTTGGTAAGCAGCTATAGAAGAAATAAAGACAATGCTTCCGCCCCCTCTCTTTTTTAATTCAGGGTATGCTTCTTTTGCGAGCAGCCATGACGCTTTTACATTTACATCAAATATTTTATCCCACGCTTCCTCGGGTGTCTGAAATACAATAACGTAATTAACACAATTTCTGCAACACATTGCTGCGATTAGAATATTGTAGCGATTTTTTTTGGTAGTCAACGAGGAACCCTTATAGTTTCGTCATGGCCGTCTGACCGTCCGTCCGCGGTTTAGCTGAAAAACTATTGGTACTAGAAAGTTGTAATTTGGCATGAGCATACGCGTTAATTATGCCGACAATCTTGTCGGTAATGTATATGTCGCAGCCTAGTGGTACCAATTGGGCGACTAGCCCTTTAATTGAATGGCGCCATTCAATTTCCTTGAAGGGCTAGCCGCCTAATTGGTCGGCTGAATATACCACTTTTAGTGTTGCCCAAATTCAGTCTTGGTCTTGGTCTTGCATTTTTGCAAGACCAAGACCAAGAACGAGACCGCGTATTTTTAGCAAGACCAAGACCAAGACCAAGACTGACCATGCAAGACTTGAGCAAGAACAAGACTACTCCCGCAAGACTCTTGCGTCTTGCAGCTAGGACTTAGCGCTATTTCACGGAGTAGTTAGGAATAACAGTTCGGTGTATAATAACACTTCAGGCTTAAGGAAACATCTAATATCTTTCCACAAAAAGGAATCACAAATATTTCTTCCTGTTAAACCAAAATCGATATATCTGGAGATATCGCAAGCTTTTTCGTAACTGCTGGAATAAGTGGACAGGTAAGAATAAATTTACTTATCTCACAATTACATAACACATATTAAGTATGTAATTATCGTGTTAAATATTTTTTATAAAGCACCCATATTTTCATTTGTTTTTATAATCGGCCTGTAACAACTAAGTACTTTATTTTGGTAAATTACAGTACAACTTTAGATTTAACAACAACAAACCTCCTCCTCCTAAACGCTCAAACCTAGTATGTTTTAAATAATAACACAAGATTTATTGTTTTATTTAAGTCGGAAAACAGTAGTGACAAGGTCCACACTTAGAAGGAAAGTCAAAGAGCGATTTGAAGAGCTCCAATTGAATCTCAAGGAACGACTTCAATCATTATCATCTAAAATGTCGTTTACCATTGATGGGTGGACGTCAATTGCTGGTAGGAGTTACTACGGGGTTACTATGCATTATATAGACAACGAATGGAAGTATCGATCTGTAGTTCTTGATTTTATACCATCACGCGTTCGACATACTGGGCAAGATATTGCAACGATTTTCCACGAATGTTTATTGGAATATGACATAATTGATAAAATACAAGGTATCACGGTCGACAACGCAACTGCAAATACTAAATTTATCTATGAACTAGGCAAACAGCTGCCACCACACTTTGATTCAGACAATCAACATTTCCGGTGCTTTGCTCACATTTTAAACCTTGGTGTACAAGATTTATTAAAGACCTTAACATTACACTGTGAGACTGACATTAACGCGCAAGATCAGCAGTATGAAGACTATGCAGACGAAACTGAGGAAGATGAAGAATATGCACCAAATATTGCTAACTCGCGTACATCTGTAACAAAGTTACGCAGTATTTCCAGCAAAATAAAAAGAAGTGAAATAGTGAAGAAGAAGTTTCAGTCTGCTTGTGAAGCAGCTGGCGTGCCATCAAATCTGAATCCCATTCTTGACTGTCCAACGAGATGGAATTCCACACATGATATGATTGGATTTGGTTTAAAAGTGGGAGCGGGCATTAACATATTGTGCAGTTCTGTCACCGAATTGAATGATTTTCAAATCACAGCTAGTGAATGACAAATACTCGAAAAAATACATAAGTTTCTAATAAACTTTAAACTTTTAATATACAAAACTTAGTGGAGAAAAATATGTTACATTACCGCTAGTCATTGTATCATTCAATCTCTTGCTCGATAAAATTGAATCCATGGTAAAACAGTTAGATGAGAAACCTAATCGATCTGAAGTGGATGAAAGGCTCATTCTGGCTTTCCAAGCAGCTCGAGACAAAATGCTTAAACATTATAAGAAGAGCAACTGGATTTATAGTACTTATTTAATTTTAGACCCAAGGCTAAGGCTCAGACTTTTGACCTGACAATATGGGGGAAGCAACTTAAAACAGAAAGCCTGCGCAAGTTCAATGAACTTTATGAAGAATACTACAGTCTACACTCACTGAACAAATCTCTGGAATTACCAAGAAAAGAAAATAAGGTATGTGATGAAGATGAAGACGTAATAGACTTTGATAAACTATGAATGTCCCTCGACGTCATCTGGATCTTGTCTTCAAGGCTTAGTGATAGACGAGTTGGAGGAGTACCTGAGAAAACCAAGAGCTGCCAGCTCGGAAGACATTTTAGATTGGTGGACGACGCATGGAGGCAGAGTATCCGACTTTATCGAAGATGGCCCGTGATTTTCTCTTAATACCTGCAACTTCAGTACCTGCTGAGAGATTATTTTCTAAAGTATCATTAGTAATTAGAAAACATAGAAATAGGTTAAGTGATGAGTCAGCCAGATGGTTACTTTGTATTAATTCTTGGTTAAAAGAATTAGTGTAATCAAATGGTTAAGCTAAAATAAAAATATATTTAATAACTTATTACAGTACTAGGAGTAGCTTGGTAGCGTAGTGGATAAGCGCCGCGGCCCGCGATCGTTGTCGTTAAGCAACTTTCGCAAGGGACGGTCACGGGATGTATGACCAAAAAATTATTATCTCGAGCTACTCCCTGCTTCGGAAGGCACGTTAAGCCGTTGGTCCCGGCCGCATTTGCAGTCGTTAATACCCTCCAATCCGCATTGGGCCAGCGTGGAGGGTCATGGCCCATCCTCCATAACCAGCCATAAGGAAGGCCTGAGCCCCTGCAGTGGGGATGTAAAAGGGGCTGATGATGATGAACTTACTTCAAGCGTTGTTGCGACAGTTGGATTTACAGCAGCATTTGATATAAGGATGTCCAAACCGCCAAATTTGTTGACTGCCTGCCATAAAATAATTGATATGGTCAAATAATTCTTAGAATTAATTTTAATATTTAAAATTAAAAGTAGGCAGAAACCTTTATTTTTATTGATTAACTACTAACGGACTTAATAAACCAGATATAATAGATCCAAACATTATTTCTCACCAAAAACGAAAAAGAATTTTGAGGAAAGAAATTTTCCAAAGATGAAGATAAGAACGGCGCAATTTCGGTAATTTTCAATGTCTTTCAATGTCAATTGTGGTTTTGCCTTAGATATCTAAAACTTAGATTATATAATTTCGGTTATCCGCACAGATTATATTTGTATATTTGTACTGTAGTAAACTTGACTTTATAGTAAAACTGTGTGTTGACCCAAATAAACTAAAAAAATAAGTGAAGAACTAATAGTCATTTATTTTTACTAGAAAATAATAGAGCTAAGAAATAAAATATAGAAAAGGAAAAAATAATTTTAAGCTTTACTATTATTTAGGCCCAAAATTGAATATTGTTTTTGAGGTTTCAAGAATTTACTTGTTTTTTATATATAGTACTGCCACATAACACATATTAATACATTTAATTATAACTTATTCTAAATGAAAAAAGTCTGATATATGTCACAGTCAATTAATTCGAAGTTAGATGAGTTTGTGATATAAAATCATCAATTAGAAAGATACATTAATGTTATTTAAAATATTATAAAAATTATTAACTAAATAAATTTGATAAGCATAACTTAAAATTTAAAAATAAAATCAATAATAAAAAAAAAACTAAATTAAATCGAGTGGTCAATTATTACTCATCATTATTATTATTATCGTTCCTAAAAAAACGGAGAATTTTCGATTTGAATTTACTCAAACTGTCACCAAATATGTCAATGTTCAATATATTATTCGTAGTCGTTACAAACTCGTGCCATGGGAGACTGTTTACCCAAATTGGTTCTAGCGAAGCGCGTTACAAATGTTTTGACAGTGCAGTGTCGTGGATAGCTGAAGGCACTGAAAGCGACATGCGTGACATAAGTTAGCCGCATTGTATTCTTCCGCCAACAATTTTGTAAGCAAAACACATTATTAATACTTGTTATTTTAATATTAAATTAGATAAAAGATTATAACTCACCATGTCAAACAACTTCTTTCGGTGATCTTTGTTAGCTACATGGCAAACAACACCTTCCACACTGATGCCATCATTTTTGAGAGTAGAAACTGTTTTGTTGACATTTTCTTCTTTTCTACTGCTTACTATTACAGATGCTCCTTCATCTCCAAGTCTCTTAGCAATAGCATATCCAATTCTAGAACCATTCCAAGATTTTATTGGTGTGATGAAGAAATTTTATTGACTATTAAAAACACGTATGTATCGATTTTTAAAACCATCTGATTTTATTTATTAGTAAATACTTTATTAGTAAATGATATAACTTGTACATACAGTAACAATTAATGTTGTTGTTACATTGACATATTTTTTTACATATAAATATTTAAATTATTTGATTTGAAATGTAATAATAAACTGCAGGGGCGGCTTAACCTATAGTGCAGGGCGTGCAATGCACACGGGCGCCGTCGTCTCAAGGGGCGCCGCGGCGCTCCCTGAGACAGCTAAGAACATCGTCTTGGACCCTCATGGTACAACAATGATATGACAGAGGCCAGGCCCGTCTTTACCCATGGTGCAATGCACCCTGCGTGGCGTGTTGGGGGGTGCCGCGTCGATGATGGTCTCTAATATGAATATGTATAAAAAGTGGACTGGGGGGCGCCACTTGCACCCGGGCGCCTGTTGTGCTTAATACGAGCCTGATCAACTGTATTTTCGTCATAATTGTAATACCTACTTATTTTTGCATGCTACTTAAGATGGCTTAACAGCTCTCACTGCACTTGAATATTATCATCGTAAATATAACCCTATTTATTAGCATGAATATCTCTGGCTTTTTTGGACTTTAATGTTCAAAATTCAGTATTATAGAATCACTCAAGTTTATTTGGTGGCCAGTCTAGAAGTGACAATCCAAAAATAAAGTTATTCTTAGCATTCAGATAATCGAATAGGTGTTATCCATTCATTTGTGGTTTTATTAGGCATATGTCTAATCTCAAAGCGTTTTAAGCATCATGCCACTAATGTTTCAATGTCATTATTAAGTTGTGTCCACCATACGTAACTCCTAGTAATGTAGTCTGTCTTACAGAAGATGGTACTACAACTCGACTTTCTAGTAGTAAACATTCATTATGTAAAGAAATTTCTGCATGCTGTAACCAAAATGGACGTAACTCTGAGTCAGCTTCTTTAATAGGCCATCCTCTTTGTTTAAAATGTATAACTCTGCTTAAAGTTTGATCACGTTTTGTTTCTTTAGATTTCCTATTTGAGATCCAGATTTAATATTATCTCATAATTATGTGATGTCAAGGCGAACGAGGCGATAGCATGTTAGGCATGGGTTTTCTTGTGTCAAATATTCCGAGTAAAGGTTTGTGATCAGTCACTATCCGAAAATGTCTGCCCATGAGATAATTTTGAAACTTTTTAATGCCAAACAGTATAGATGTAGTTTCCTTGTCTACTTGAGAATATCGTCGCTCGTGAGAATGTAAATTCCTTAAAGACATCGCTATTAGTTTTCTTGGGTCAAATATTCCGAGTAAGAGTTTGTGATCAGTCCCTATCCGAAAATGTCCGCCCATTAAATAATTTTGAAAATTTGTAATGCCAAACATTATAGATGTAGTTTCCTTGTCTACTTGAGAATATCGTCGCTCGTGAGAATAATTCCTTAAAGACATCGCTATTGGTTTTTTTGGGTCAAATATTCCAAGTAAGAGTTTGTGATCAGTCACTATCCGAAAATGTCCGCCCATGAGATAATTTTGAAACTTTGTAATGCCAAACATTATAGATGTAGTTTCCTTGTCTACTTAAGAATATCGTCGCTCGTGAGAATGTAAAGTCATCGCTATAGGACGTTCATCACCATTGGCCATTCATGAGACAAAACTGTTCCCACCCTTACCAGAATTATCACATGTAAGAATCAGTGATTTGCGGACATCGTAATGCACCAACATTAAGTCAAATGAAAGTAAATGTTTTACTGTAATTAGAAATATTTTGTTCTAGCTCTTCCATTTCCGAGGTTGTGTTCTATCTAATAAACGATGTAGTGGTTCAAGAACAGTTGCTTTATGTCGTATAAACTGCTCATTAAAATTATATAAACGCAGAAAAACTTGAAGTTCTTGTTTATTTTTAAGTGCAGCGGTATTACTTTTTCATTCAACTTTACTCGGTGCTGGATGGATTCCCTCAGCGTCGATTACAAAACCGAGAAATTCTACTTTTTCTTTTGCAAATTTACATTTGTTTTTGTTAAGCCGTAAACCAGCCTGTTCAACCCGTTGTAATGTTTTATCTAGTCTTTCCAGCATTTGCAGCATAATTTGCCCGCTTATTATAATATCATGGATTAGAACTACCACCCCATGTATACCAGCAAGAAGAAAAGTCATCAGTCACTGAAATATGCCTGGCCGAGCTTTAACACCAAAGCCTAATCGATGTACAGTATATAAGCCCTTGCAGGTATTCAAAGTGAATACCTGCAAAGGCTTATATATATATATATAAGTTAGACGTGCTATTATTTACGACTACCTGCGTATATGCATGCTCTAAATTTAGCGTCGTAAAATTAAATCCACCAGCCACAGTAGCGAACATTTAATTTGCGGTTGACATTGGAAAAGTATCAGATTCCATTGCTTCATTTGCTGTGCTACGGTAGTCGTCTTTACAACTATCTTTATAACTATCGGTAATACGGGAGTATTGGTACTCCTTACTCCTTCCCTTTGTAATCTGTCAATTTCAGTAAAAAAAACCGAAGAACTTTGGAGCATTTCAATTATGTTATCAAATCTATAATACCATCTATAGCGCCTCAATTAACTTTCATTTAAAGAAAATGCATTGATGAAGGAACTTTTCCTGATTTAATGAAATATGATAAAATAATCCCACTTTTCAAGGCAGGCGACAAGTCTGATCCCAGTAATTTCAGACCAATATCTATACTAAATTTATAATCAACTGCTTGTACACCTTTTGTTAAATAAAAATTACTCAACAAAAATCAGTTTGGTTTTAGCAAAGGTAAATGTACCACAGACGCTGGAATAACACTTTTGAGACATATCTATGATGGTTGGGAGAATAAACAAAATGATATCGGCATTTTTTGCGATCTGTCAAAAGCATTCGACTGCGTTAGTCATGAAACACTGTTGGGGAAAATAGATCATTAGAGTGTGACGAAAAATTCACTAAACCTAATAAAATCATATCTTTCTGCTAGAATTCAAAAAGTAGTACTTAAAGAAGCTAAATCTGCAGGGGGCACCAATTACTATGTACGTACCTCAGGGAGTGGTATTAGGACCATTGCTTTTTCTAATTTACATTAATGATCTGATCATTTCTGGGTAAATGAATTGCTATGTTCAATAAAGTTCCACAAAATGTAATTGACCTACCCATAAATAAATTTAAAATTCATGTAAAGAACATACTTATGAGTAAAGGCTACTATAAAGTTGATGATTATTTTAAGAACCGCAATGCATGGAATTAACAGCCTTTGGTTTGTTCTATAATGACTGATTATATGTACAACCTATGACTAACAGACTTTGAAAGTTGTATTTATTATTGTGATAATACATATTATTTTGTAAATGCCATTACTTATGATAAAGAGCTCGTAAATTTCTTTCGCTTGTTCTTCTTGTCAGTCAAAAGACATCCTGAGCAAGTGGTGAGCGAAAAAAAATTGTTTTTGAATATTCAAAAGTGTTTTAAGGAGCTTACTTGAGTAAAGATATTGACATTTCATTTCATATAAAATCAAACTTAAAAAATACACATACTTACATAATATCTATATGTAAGAATTACATACATACAAATAAAGACATATATACATAGACAACCTCGAGATTCACGGATCTCACTACCTACCAAAAAGTAAGACACTATCACATAACAAGAGCCAACAGTACTTCAGGCTTAACAATAACAAACTTCTCAAATTTATTTTAAACATTATTGTAAACTAGTGGCCGCCAGCGACTTCGTCTGCGTTTTCCATTATTTCTTCACTACTAATAGTTGCAGCGTGACGTGATATAGCCTAAAGCCTTCCTCGATAAATGGTCTAGTCAACACAAATAGAATTTTTCAATTCGAACCAGTAGTTCCTGATTAGATTAGTGCGTTCACACAAACAAACTCTTCAGCTTTATAATATTAAAGAAAACAATTGAGGAAATTTGATATATTATGGTAGCCCGACTCGCAGCCGTGTGTACATTGCGCAATTCCAAAATTAAACTTGTATGATGGAAATCTGGTCAACAACGAAGGTACTTCAAGAATCTCGAGACAATATAGAAAACGTTCATTTCCTAGTTCCTACATTGACCCGGCGAGAAGAGGTGCAGGTCACTCATCTACTGAGGTTGTTTTTTGTAAATAATTCACCACGATTGCGTACTGAATAGTTATTCATTAATTACTTGCCCGTCAGTGGATGCTGTTACAATTGCCACTTTTCCTTTTAATCTCTTATTATGTAGATCTCTAGTACTCAGGTAAAATGGTGAGATATTATTTATTTTCGGCACTAATTTAGATGAAATAAGCATGATAACGGGCGTGTGATAAGATTAATATAACAAATTCAAAAGGGAAATTTACGATTTTTAGAAACTGTTGAAAAAGTTTTTAAGAATCGAGTGCAATTAATTCAGAAGTTGAATTATCTATGATATGATTTATGCTCGATAATGTCCAACCAAAACAAGTCCAAAGTTTTAAAATTAGTTTTTTTTAATTATATATTATTCTTAGCCATGGATACAGGTCTTTCAGCCTCCGTTTTCATTTTTATACAACCACGGACGAGTACGTAACTTGAGTAAATACTTGTAATAAGTCTATGGAATAGTCACGTACAGTCGGCCAAGCCAAGAAAGTGTTCTGCCAATTTTGACAACACTTCCCGTGTCTTTAATTGAAGCATCGCTAAAGGCGAATCCTAGAATTGCATACAAACAATAAAAGAGATGCACAATGCTAACGTGTTGTCGTAGAGCACAAATGTTATTTTGACCTTTGCAGCCTATGCATTAGATCAGGGGTCTCCAAACTTTGAAGCCTTTGGGCCATAATGATTTTTTCAGTTTGTTCCAAAGGCCAAACCAGTTTTAATTTTTCTGCCCTTAACAATATTTCTAGTCTAGAATAGTCGCAAAGTGCGCGACCTAAGCAAACTTACGCTTTTTTGCATTTCAATGAGGAAGTATATAAAAAATAAAAATTAGTTCTTGAAATCATACTAGATGTCACTCGCGATTTTCGGATTTTGTTTATGATATTCATTCAAATTTTGTTTCTGACGTAATAAAAGTAAATTGAGTATCGAAAATTAATAAATATGACATCGTTTTGTGTTTCTTATAATATCTAACTTTCAAACTAATTATAAAGTATCTAATGAGTTATAAGGTATCTAAATAATGGTTTAAGTTCTTTTTGACACCGATATAAGTACCTTATAAAACTTAAGGTCTCAGTAAACTCTATTATACAGATGAAAAAAAGTTTTAAACGGAAAATAATGATCTTATAACACCACTAATACACTTCTAGAAGAGTTATGTAGAACCACTTTAAGGGGTTTATACAGACTTTACCTGTATAATTTTGCGCCAAAATCCAGGTTATAAAGGTGTTATTACACTCTATAACTCTCTTATAAGATATACGCTAACTCTTTAATATCTAACCAGAACCGAAATATAGGTCTACTAAAGCTTGTTTTAACGCTAAATTGTTAGTTGGGATGGTCATTCGCTATGCAAATGATCCTAAAGCACGGGCCAAAATATGCCTTAGCGTTGAGGAGAAAATTTACCCACTAATTGCTGAAGCAAAAGATGCCAAAGAAACTTGGTAAGCATTAAAGAGAGCATATGCGGATGCAGGTTTGGTGCGTCGATTAACATTACTTAGAAAATAGTTCAGCGTGAAACTAGAGAGCTACCCTAGTATGGAAGCGTACGTTACAGATATCCAAGCGACACATCAAGCACTCGTAACGATTAAAGCTGGTTTGGATGATGAATTTCTAAGTATAATAATGTTAGCTGGTTTGACAGATTCGTATAATCCGCTAGTGATGGCTTTGGAACATTCAGGAGCAAAAATTTCGTCTGAGACCGTAATCGCCGCAATACTTAAAAAAGGGCAGCGACAAAGTCAACCAACGTATAGTGGGATGAATGAAAAGAAGGACGAATCGGTACTAGTGTCGAGTTCTAATGACAAAAAGAAAATACAAAACCTATAATTTGTTATTATTGTAAAAAGAAAGGGCATTATAAGTCTCAATGTAAAAAATTTAAAAATAATATTGATGTTCAGCCGAAATCTTGTCTTACAAATGACAACTCTGAGGAGTTTGTAACCTTTCTAACTAGTAAGTATGAAAGTAATGATAGATGGGTTGTAGATTCTGATGCTACGTCCCACATGACATCAAATGAACAAATTTTGAAACCAGAAAAATCTTGTGCAAAATTTATTACTTGTGCAAATAAAGACAAAATTGTTTCAAACAAACAAGGAACTGTTGATTTGAAGATAAATCACGAGGGACGTACCACAGATGTGAAAATGAGTAATGTATTGCTTATTCCTGAGTTATTAACTAATTTGATTTCAGTAAGCAAGATTGCTGAAAGTGGTAAGGTTATTATTTTTGATAAAAAGTGTTGTAAAGTTTTTAATGATACTGTTAATGTTATAGGTAAACCTCTTTTTACAGCACCACACAAAAACGGGTTATATGTATTAGGTCCGGATAATATCAAGTTTCCGACAGTTCTTTTAGGTGATAGCAGTCGTAGTCAGGATGACTATGAGTTGTGGCACAGGAGGTTAGGTCATTTATCTTAATAAAAGTTATGATTAAGGATATTAATTTTGGGAAGGTTGATAATAAAGTTCATTGTGTGGCCTGCAGAAAGCAGAGCAAGCAAGAAAGAAAGCAGTGTGCAAAGAAATTTCCACATCGAAAGAAATGTAAGCGAGCCAACGATTTGCTTGAGCTAGTACATAGTGATGTTGACGGTCCAATTGAAACAGAGTCATGGGGAGGTGCAAAATATTTTCTGATCTTTGTTGACGACTACAGTAGAAAAGTTTTCTGTTATATTTTGACATCGAAAAAAGAAGTATTCGAATGTTTTCGTGATTTTAAAGCTTTTGTGGAAAATCAAACTTCAAAGAAAATTAAAAAAATTAGATCTGATAATGGTACAGAGTATACCAATAAGGAATTTCAATCTTTTTTAAAGAAATATGGAATTCAGCATCAGACATCTGTTCCACATACTCCAGCTCAAGATCAAAAACAGAAAATCAAGGCGTAAGTCATATACAGTCAGATACTTTTGAAGCTCAAGACGAAATGAGTAGTCAACAAGATTCTGAAATAGAAGAAACTGGTGAAGTTTCACCAAATAGAAGATATCCCTTACGAATACGTACTCCAAAGAGATATGATGATATGGAATGTCAAATGCAACAAGAGAAGCGGTGTACTTGAAGAGATTGGTGGAGGAATTGAATTCATCTGAGTGTTCTCCCATACCAATCCACTGTGATAGTCAATCAGCAATTGCTATTGCAAACGCAAGTCATTACCATGCACGTATCAAACACGTTGACGTCAGAATTCGTTTTGTGAATGATATCTTAGAAAAAGGTATTATTCAGTTGTTCTTTCTGAAAGGTGAACATATGCCAGCCGATTTTAACTAAAGGCTTACCTAAATCTAAACGTATGTTCTACGTACGTAGTGTGAATTTAAAGTAAGTTTGTTTTTCTGATGTGAGGAATATTTGTGTGCATGAAAGAGGTTGATGAAATTAATACGAGTAGTTGCGCGTTAGTTGATTTAAGGAGGAGTGTTGGATCCTAGGTTGGATGGTGTCTGGTCTATGGTATAAAGAGTAAATCAATTTGACGCAGCATTCATATTTTTTACTTGCTTTTGTTTTCTCTTCACAAAATACATTAACTGTACAACAATACTGATTTTATTATTTTATTACTTAGTATCTACAATTTAATATCACCTACTGGTGATATCACATGAAACAATTTTACGTTATACTTTACTAATAAACCACTATAAATTTAATCAATCAATTTCATTTCTAGATAAACTAAACGGCTTATCATGGCTCTCGAAGCACGAGAAAGACAAAAATTTAATTTTGTAAGGATGCGGGTTGGTCTTACTAAAATGTGAATTTATAAAATAAAATTAATAGAACACATTAACAAATTTGCCTCTATAATGCAGCATTTTTCCATTTCTTTTTGTAATATTTGTAAAGAAAAACATAAATATCACACTAAATACAAATTATATGGCAACAGATCTGACTTATTGTCTTTTGAATTTCAAAGGAGTCGCGTGAAAAGGTTAGAGAAAAAATGCTTACATAATTATACCCAACTTATGGAAGATTACATAACTATTCAGCCTAAAGGTTTTTGGTCTTTTATTAAATCTCGCTCCGACGTTGGTAGTATGCCAAGTAGCCTTCATTATAGGGGCACAATAGTTAACACAGGTACCGATATTTGCAATGCCTTTTCACAGTATTTTCTAACTAATTTTTCGCCTAGAACAGCAGCTAATTTAAGCTTCGACTCTGACGAGGGTATTAATGTCATTTCTGATATCTCCAGTGTTGTGATTCATACTGACGTGGTATTCAAATTACTCTCTAATCTTGATACAAGTAAATCAGCAGGCCCAGATCATCTTCCAGCTCTATTCTTGGTTAATTGTGCGCCCAGCATTACTAAGCCCATTTCTTTGTTATTTCAGCGTTCCCTTCTTGAATCCAAAGTACCTAATTTATGGAAGCAGGCATTTGTTACACCTGTCTTAAAAAAGGGGGCTAGGATTGAAGTTATTAATTATAGGCCTATCTCTAAGTTGTGTGTGGTGGCAAAGGTATTAGAAAAAATTGTTTACTCTCAATTATTTAACGCCATAAAAGATTCTCTAGCAAATTACCAGCATGGGTTTATGAGTCATAGGTCTACAGTTTCTAATCTTATATTACTTAACGACTATATATCAAAATCTATGGATGACGGATCTCAAGTAGACGTCATCTATACTGACTATTCAAAAGCATTCGATAGGATTGATCACGTCATACTTCTGGCCAAGCTAGCTCGGATCGGTGTTAGGGGTGACTTATTGAGATGGTTTTCATCCTACATAGATAACAGGTCTCAAGCAGTAGTCATAAGTAATCACGTATCTAGTTGGGTGATTATACCTAGTGGAGTAGCCCAAGGCTCATTGTTGGGTCCTCTCCTCTTCAATATATTTGTCAATGACATAGGAAGTTGCTTCAAGTACTCAAATCTTCTATGCTTCGCGGATGATATGAAGATATATGCTGAAGTAAAATCTGTTGCGGACTCAGTAGCACTACAGTTTGATTTAGATAGTCTGGGTGAGTACTGTGTAAGAAATAAGTTGGACCTTAATCCTTCTAAGTGCTTTTCTGTCACATTTTCACGAAAGTCAACTGTTATTAATCACGTTTACACTATAAACAATCAAGACCTCCAAAAAGTGAGTGAGATTAGAGACTTGGGTATCATACACGATTCCAAGCTTATATTTGATTCTCATATTCACTCTATTATTCTTAAAGCCGCTAAGTTATTTGGGTTTATAATGCGAAATTCGGCTTGCTTTTCTCGAATTAAAACTTTTAAAATATTATACTGTGCTTATGTTCGTAGCCAACTGGAATATGCGTCTCAAATTTGGAATCCTAGATATGCCACTTATATTGACAGAATTGAAGGCATTCAGAGGAAATTTATAAAGTTTCTGTGTTATAAGATGAATAGACCATATGATTCATCTGAATACCTCCAAGTATGTAAAGAGCAACATTTACTGCCACTAGTGCTCCGTAGAACAGTAGCCGACATTATATATCTGCTTAAAATTATAAATTGTCAAGTTGATTGTCCTGAATTGTTGCGTATCATTAAATTTTCAGTCCCGACAAGATCACAGAGATATTACCGACCTATAGCGATCCCCTCGTCATCTACAAATTATAGGCAAAATAGCTTTATTGTTAGGGCCAGCGTAAGCTTAAATATGATGCTTGATGAGTGTGGGTATGATGTAGACATCTTCGATTGCAAAATTAATTCATTTAAGCGGAAATTAATAGAATACTTTCTGTCTCGTTAACTTATGGCGCAGGTATGATTACTTATTTGATTGTGTAGCTTGTGTGCGAATTCACTGATTAGATCTAAGCTATTTCTATATGTGGAAACCTATAATTGGCTTTATGTTTTTTATGCTGAAATCTATCATGTTTGTTTAGCTGTTGGTTTTCCAAGAATAATAAATAAATAAATAAATAAATATCATCATGAGGTATTTACAGGGGAAATTAATAAATACGTAAGACAAACCATAAAATAGCATGTCGATATGGTAAGCAATGAAAATGCGGACTATCTTGCCAGATTAAGAAATTCACTAGGTGGTGATATTAAAAACATCTACTGTCCTTGGCAAATGTCGTACGAGAATACGGTCAAAAAATCTACAAGCAATGGAGAGCAGAAAGAACACTTGTCACTAGTACAAAAGGCACATGATATGCTGGTATCAATAAAGAAGTTGTCCGAAAACCCTGGTTCGCTATGTCCAGCAACTACCGCGAGAGAAAAACCGCGAGATTCGGACATTGCCGATTTAAAGCCCATTTACACCGTATTCATATGATAACATCTCCAGTATGCACCGAATGTTCAATTCAAGTAAACCAGACACTTGCACCTATCTTTTTTCATGCCCAACTTACAATATCCAGTGACTCGTTCTAAGACATCACCTCCTGAAAACTTAAAAAAAATAGAACTGACTTCAAACAGGATGGTATTTTAAAAATTATTATGATAATTCAACGCTTTCACCAGGCAGCGTTTAGCAGGGCTATTGCGTAAAGTTAGCCAAGAGCCCCGCTAATTACCTTAAAACTATGTTAATTAGCATAGTTTTAAGGTCATTTTTTTTTATTCCGGATATGTAAATAATAACTTTGAACAAAACAACGACATTTAAATCAAGATTTTGCTGCTTGCAAATAATATGATATTAAAGATCTGGCTATTTGACTTTTAAAAACATTAAGGAATAAAAAGGAAGACAAAAAAAGATTAGGCTCTGCCTCATAATATAACTTATTCAATATTTGGCAGTATGGCTAAGTTCTTTCACCTGTCCTATGGACGAAACAAACTACTACTGCTATTATTTTTTTGACAGGATTAGAAAATCTAAAAGAAATCGTCTTAACGGCCGCATAAATTCTTTTTATTTTGTTTCGCTTTGCTAATGATAATAAGATGAGTTTACACACAGTACCGTTAGATAAATCAAACTTATTAATTTTTCAATAATTGAAATGGCGTGTATGTTCCGTCGAATTTATTGCAAATATACGAAGTGCTTAGTGATAACTGTTTTATTGGCATTTTTTGTACAAATATTGGTTGCAATTTGCTTTTTTCCTTCCATCGAAAATGAATCCTTACTTAAAAGAAAAAGTACCTTTGCAAAACAAGAAACTGGTGCTGTATCTGCTGAAAAAGCAGATTCCAGATTATCAGATGATGAGGACCTGATATTAAAAGGAAAGCATCAAACAATTACACAATTGAGATTAGAAGAATTAGATTTTAAGCCTCAATGTGAAATAAAAAGCAAGGAAGCCATATCAGCTATACACCGTGCTAAAACACAGACATGTAAACGAGAAATAGTGAATATAACTTGCCTTATTCAGAATGATAATTTTTATCCAAAAATATTACCAAACAATTGTCCAGCCAGAAACGCTACTTATGGAAAAGAGTTAGGTTGTTTTCAAGATGAGAAAAAGCTGAGAATACTTTCTAGTTTTTATGGAAATTATGTTAATTCTAATACTCCAATGAATTGTGTAGATATTTGCATTCAGGCTGGTTTTCCATATGCTGGTGTTCAGTATGGGTAAGTTGCATAATAAGAATAAAAAATCAAATTGATATTATGGAATGGCTTGAACACTTTTAGACAAAATTTTATGTACCCTAACAACCAGTTGCACAAATGTCCATTAGAATTGCCATTAGTTTAATGTTACATTATCCTTAAAAGTCTTAAAATTTCGCACATTCATTAGAGTGAGTGATTAGGGTAAGGTTATAATGTTTCAGGGATCTGCTACTAGAATTATTGGAAACATTCATTTGATATACTTCATATAAGTTATATTTACAAGAATATTATGGTCACAGTAATGAGTTAATGATGATTATCTGATTTTTGTATACTAATAAAAAAATAAAAAACTAAAATTTAAAATGATGAAGATATAATTAATAATAATGGTGTAGCTCGTGGTAAAAATGTGCAAGAGCTTTTAAAAGCTTGATATTTCAGAATGTGAAATACTTGTACATCCTTTAGTGCTCAGTGAGGCGATCAGGTGCTGGAGCAACTGGTGGCGATAGGGCAATATACTTTAAAAACCTCTAGTATTTTGATATACTTAAATATCAAGCTTTTGCATATTTTGGTCACTGGCTCTTTGACTATAAGGGCATGCTGATTAATTAATTGTAATATCCTAGTACTAGGTTTCTTATTATTTTAGTTTACAAACTTTGAAAATTTATATTTATTTGTTATTATTTTACTAATATTAATTAACTGCACAAAGTAGTTTTTATAAGTATTGTTTGTAAAGGCTTTTATTCCTGTTGCAGATCAGAATGCTTTTGTGGAGATAATATGCCATCTGCTTCAGCTAAAATAAAGAATAATTTTTGTGACATGAAGTGCTCTGGAGATCCCTCCAAAATTTGTGGGGGATATTTTACAATGAATGTGTTTGAAACGGGTTTATCAAGTAAGTTTATGTGTAATTTTATTTATTGAATAAAAACCTTATATTATGCATACAAGATATCATAATTAAAAATAATTTAAAAGCTCATTTTGAGCTTATAAATTATTTTTATCAAAGATTGTGCAAAAAGAGCCATAACAGTGTTACATGGACTAGGCAAGTAGACATGACAAGTGATATCTAATTTAAAATAATTGTAATATACACTGTTGGTAATTTAATTAAAAAAGCAATTGTTTTATTACAGAATTCCTTCCAAGAATGCCTAAGACTATTGCAAGTAATGAAACATCGTCAGTTCATATAGTCTTCCTTTTGACTTTGAATGGACGTGCTTTGAGACAAGTTAATCGGTTAATTAACGTTTTATACAGAAGCAATCATTATTTTTTAATTCATGTTGACAAAGTGAGTAAAAATGACATTCTGTACTGCACACCATTGAAACCACCCTATTGGGTGACCACCCCCTATTGGGTGACCACCCCCTATTGGGTGGCTTGGCTAAACCACCCTATTGGGCAGTTTCAATCATAAAATCAATATTCTTAACGAAAAATGCTTAAAAAATCCACTTTGACCTTGGCACTCTGAGATGGAACTTGAATGCATGACCTTTCACTATTCGGGCGAATGTTCTAACCACTGAGCTACCTAGGACCCAATAGGACTGACGTTTTTTTCAAGCACTTGTTACTGTTTCGCTACTATAGAACGTATTTTCATCACTGTTCAGACAATCCACCCAAACAGCCAAAATATTTTTTTTACAAATATTTCAACTTACGATAAATATTAAATTTTTTCAGTATAGCATTGTGAATGCAAAATTGATTAAATGTAATAATTAGAACAAATTTTTGTGGACAAAATGGATGCACAAATTCCAGGATAGGAAAGGATGGCATGAGATTGAGAACTATATTCAACTATGTTACTGAGGGCTGATAAAGAATTGAATGAATCCTGAATCATAGTCATTTTTTGACAAGGAAATTTACCTAGATTTCAGTTTTAAACAAAAATGTAGAAAATTTTAGCTTCGATATATTCAGTGGCGTTAACTATTAAGGCGCATAGTTTTAATTAAAATTCAAAGTTTGTATTTTTCTTTTGTAAGTATTTAAAATCCATTGAACCAATTTTAATGAGCGTTGGTACGCAGATAGGATGGACCTAAGAGAAAGACATTTTCACTACTATTATTTTCTTTTGTGTCAGTTCATATTTATTTTATTTTGTATGATACTCTGTACATAACTTATTATAATACGATAGTGCACAGCGCCAAACGGCGCGCCGTCAAAGAACACATTGAAATGTGGAAGCGACTTCCAGTGCGTCTCGTTCGCAACCACAACTGAACAGAAGAGAGTCTAGAAAAATTTAACGACATTTGTTTTGTTATGAGATATAAATATGAGATATGCAATAGCATAACACTCATATTGTAATAGATTTATCACATTTATTGTACATATAATTTATTTTTTCAGCGGCAAGATTATTTACATCGTAAACTATCGGAGTTAGAGGAAAAATTCCCGAATATAAAATTGGCCTCCCATCGATATTCTTCGATCTGGGGAGGAGCATCATTGCTGCAAATGCTACTTACAGCTATGAAGGATATTTTCTCCCTTGGCTGGAATTGGGACTACGTAATAAATTTGAGCGAAAGTGACTTCCCTATAAAGTCAATAGAACATTTAGAAAACTTTTTAGCAGCAAATAAGGGTTTGAATTTTGTAAAGTCACATGGTCGGGAGGTCCAAAGATTTATAAAAAAACAAGGCTTGGATAAATCTTTTATTGAATGCGAAACACACATGTGGCGTATAGGTGATAGAAAATTGCCACGTGGCATTGTAATCGATGGTGGTAGCGATTGGGTAGCTTTATCTCCTGATTTCGTGTCATATGTAGTTAACACATATGATGAACTTTTGGCTGGCTTGGATATTATATTTCGACATACTCTTTTACCAGCTGAATCCTTTTTTCATACTGTACTTAGAAATTCCAAATTTTGCAATACATATGTAGACAACAATTTACACGTTACAAACTGGAAAAGGAAATTAGGATGTAAATGTCAATATAAGCATGTTGTAGATTGGTGTGGCTGCTCACCTAATGATTTTAAAACTGATGATTGGCCAAGAATACAAAACACTCAAGATAGACAATTATTTTTTGCTAGAAAATTTGAACCAATAATCAATCAGGAAATTATAACTAGAGTAGAACAATTTATTGGTTACGATGATCACTATTTGATAAAAAATCACGAAGCATATTGGCAAAGCATTTATAACATAGATGACTTAACATCAAGTTCAGATGATTTGATATTGACTCATGCTGGGAGCATAATGCGGCATAATGTAAAAATTTTACTAGAAGAACGTTGCAAAGTAGAACCATTTGAAGTTATTGAAATGAACGTATATAATTATGCCGACGTTTATAAAGGCAATTTAATTCTACACAGAGTTCTGTTAAACGGTGGCGATGAAGTCTTCTTAGAAACGTGGTATAAACCAAAGAAGCATTTCGAACAAAACTTAGAGAATCGTTATGTTGACAACGTTAAAATTTTCAGAGTAAGCTCCGATTATGATCAAAAAGAAATAACGTTTCGTAACTATGCAAATATTTTGGGGCCGTTATCTGAACCTAATTTACTTTACCAATTTTCGCCAGATATTGATAGAAAAGATGATAATCTAACAGTTATATGGTTGGACCCTGCTGGCCTAATAGCCGATGTAAATATCCTACATGTAGATGAAAATAATTTAACTAATTTCATTAAACCTAATATAAAAATTCCGTTACTTCCAGGTATATGGAAAGTAGGGTTATTTGAGAGAACAAACCTGGTAGCAATAACTAAGTTCTTGATTACCCCTTTAGAGTATTTTTCCGGGAAAAAAACGACACGACAAGAAGTGTCGATAATTCACAGTGGCTCGCAAAATTCTTATAAAAAGTATTCACATGTTAAACTAGTAAATTTTTTACCAAATGCGGAAGAAAGTTTATTGTTACAAAAACTTGCTCATGCTAATATTAAAAGAATAAATAATGATCTTAGAGAATGGATAGATAATTTAACGTCTGGTTTTTATACTATATTAGGGTCATGTGTTAGCGCTCTTAATGACAATATAAAAAGCAAAATAAAATGTGGCAATTATGAATTCGAATATTGCTCTTCAACCATTTGGAGTTCATTGTCTCCAGATCCGAAAGGTACTGTCGGTAAATTAAACGAGATGACTGGACGGCTTGATAGAATATGACACAAAATTGGATTTACGGTATATTATATTTATTTTTTAAAAAACAAATTAATGAGTTTCCATGCAATAGTTAAGTTTTGTGAAATTAGATGACATTTTTAGTAAATAGGTTTTTTAATATAGGTCTTTGCACACGACGCTTTTATTTTGAACCAACAACGTGCGTTTTAGACGGGCGTGACCTCTGCTCATTGAGCAGATTGTATGTTTTTAATTTAGTGACGCAAACTCAAGTGGTACGCCTGTATGAAGGATGTATAGGATTAGGGTTTCTACGAGAGATTGTCTTGTTTGATTTAGAAGGTACATCGTCGTTTTTAAAAAAACAATAGCCTTGTTTGTCAAGCATGTTTTCGATACAAGCACGGTGCTCTTATGTATAAGTTACAAAGTTTACACGCTCTTGATAAGCGTCTTTGTATTCAACGCGCGTTATAAAACGTCGTGAGCATAGGCCCTAATAGTAATATGTATCACAGTCCTCATTTTTTTACTTTTGTAATTTATGTACCATAATAATGTTTTACTAAACGGCAACGTTCTCTGTGTAAATAATTTGTAAATAGATTTTTTTTATAAAACCTTTGTTCTTTCATTATTTTTATAACTGAAACATATCGATACGAAAGAAATTCGATTGTCATTATCGCTATATACTTAGGTACTGTAATGTCTGCAGCACAGCCGAAGAATGGTGGCTGCCGCAGCACCAAAACCCCAAGTCTTGAGACGTCTTAGCCAGTACGCGTAGCATGACAAACTCGAGGAACGCTACACCCAAATGTCAGTTTCTCGGGTCAAGAGTGAGATATAGTATGGGTGCACCCGAGAAAAGTGGCATTTGAGTGTAGACAAAACGTTCTCGAGTTTGTCATGCTACGCGTGCAGGAACACTAGGTTAGTATAATTGACAGATTAGGGTCAATCATGATCTTAAAACGAATGGGTACGCGGAACTAATTAAATGTGTATGTTATATTATAATTTAAGCAGGCATTTTTATCATTGAATTTCAATGAAGTAAAAACTAAAAGAATTAGTGAAGAGACTTATTAGCTACGTTAAGTTTTGTTAATTTGCTCTACATAATTTTTCCAATACGTTATCTATACTCACAAATAGAAAAGATTTGATTGCTTGTTTATTTGCATTATAGGTTCTGAATTACTCTAACATTGGACCGATTAAAAAAAATCTTTTACATAATACGCTGGGGACATAGGCTTTAATAGACGCAGGCTAAGTCACGGGGAAATAGCTAATTAATTTGATAGAATTTGATTCACAATTCAAGAAGAATCGATGTATAATATATAATAAATATTATTCCTTATTAAAATAAACATACCTGTCGAACATCGAAATTTTCCTTTCGTATTTTGAATAAATGCAAAATATTAAATCTTTTGTTTTTTCGCTGAATCTTATTTGTCCATGGCTGATATGAACTTATCGTCTAAATATATAAGATAATTTGATGAAAAACATATTTTGTTTTCTTAATAAAAAAAACGACTTAATATTCGATTTAGATAAATTTCAAATGGGACCACCTCGGGCCATTAATCTGTCTAATAAAAACAGAATTCTGGAAATCGTTCAATTAGCGAAAAAGTCTGTGAAATACAATACAAAACTCTTTATTGTTCACATTACACAATAAATTACAAAATTTTATAGTAATAAGTAGGTACATAAAAAATACATCGCTTGAACATTTGAAATAGGTTAAAATTAAATTTGAAATTGTCAATATGTAGGGGAGACTGGGCAACATTTAATCACTTTTCTATTTAACCGACGTCAAAAAAAGTTGTCACCAATACGAGGTGTATGTATGTAATTTTGTTGGAATGACGTAATATTCAAATTCATATACGTTGGTCTATATAAGCTTCTAAACGAGTGTGAAAATTTTTCCACGGATATCTCGCAAAGTAGATGTCGGAGTGCGTAGGGTACACTACAAGTTTTGTTATGAAAACAAAATGCTCATACGATTTAAAAATTTTTGATATTGGCCCCACCACCTCAATATACATCATACATACATATAGGTAGGGTAAAATACCCAGTAGACGCCTTTTAATGAGAATCTTAATTCGATTAAACTATATTTTTAAAAGGCTTTAAATAAAAACCGCTATTTTTATGAGAAAGGTTGTTTATTATCTATACATATTATATAAAAGGAGATGTCCTGACTTACTGACTGACAGACAACGCACAGCCTAAACCGCTGGTCGTAGAAACTTGAAATTTGGAGGGAACATTCCCCTTAATACGTGTGCTAAGAATGGATTTTTGGAAATTCCATCCCGAAGGGGGTCAAAAAGGGTGAAAAAGTTTGTATGAAACTTCTTTGTTTATGGACCTATGTCGATGAAAATTGATATTCAGGTAGTTTATGACCCTAGGAAGGTAATAACTTACATTTTATCCCGAAAACTAGCACTTTATGGAATTAAAATGGGAGTAAAAGATTTTATGTGGAATCAAAATGTTACCATAGCAACCATTGTGTACAATCTGATTTGTCATTGTAATAATATTGGGTATGTTCCGATATACACTGCGAGCACTGCGCAGTGGTCTTACTGCTGAAAAATCTGTTCCGTTATGGACTGCCAGTACACTGCTAAAGTACCCTAGGGAAATTTATGACGTCATAAATTGCCGCCATATTTGTACTGTGAGCACTGGAGATTTCGAGGTAAGGTGCTCGCAATGCTTTTGATCACGTGATCAGTCGAAACAGAATCAGAAAATGATAAGTTTCTAAACAAACAAAAAAAATACTTACGTTTATTTATAAGATGGATTTAATTGATAATTTTTTTTTATACAATTTACCAATTTTCTTTTGAAAAGAGGGAATCTTTATATTTATATTCACCTTGCATTAACAAATTTGAAAATGGCGCCAAAAAATAGGATTAACAGTATACTGGACTGCGTTCCGTTTTTAAAAGTCACCAGTATAACTAGCTATAAAGGAACGGGCTTGCAGTATACTAAATTGACGTCATACTGTTCAGTGGTCGCAGTGTATATCGGAACATACCCATTATTTGCAAAATATTGTATAGCGATAAAAACTGGTATTTGGGGACATATTACATTTTTGAAATTTTTATGAATAAAAATGTTCAAATTCAAGTAATTTTGTTTACGAATAAAAAATATTTTTATATTATATACATATATGAACTACACTAGATGGCGTTAAATGAATTCTAAATCGCAGATTTTTTTGCCTAGAAAACTTACCTAGAATTACTTTTCAGCCATCTGGTGGCAAGTATATTCTAAACCACTCTATTATTTTGATTAAAGCATTTTCCGGTGGATTTCAATCAAAAACATTGAAATGTTGCTTCAAGTTTAGATTAAAGAAATTGCAATTATTTGTGTTTTTCGTTTCATCAGTAATTAATTTATTGAGGATTGATAGGTCTTAAACTAAAATTTTCAAGTTGATAATTTTTAAAACTCCTATTTTATTTGGTCGGCTGATACTATGACTTCTTCATGATGTGACCAAGAGTAAGTGTTCATATCGTAAAATAATTACGTAAGTCTCAGTAAGAGGCGCTGATGTCGCATTGTTTTTGTGATACATTATTTATTTTAATTTTTAGTTATACAACAAATTAAAGGAAGTAGGGTGAATAAGCAACGGAAACCAATTACTTGATTAAGTTCAGTGAGACAAATGTGCGAAGTGCAGCAGCAAAGGCTATTTCTACAGTTTTATGGATAGGTCGCAGGTTCTGATGAAGACAGGATTGTATCGTATTGTAGCTCCAGAGGCTGATAAAAATATATTGGAGAATATAAAAGTTTTTGAGATATGAACTGAACTTCAGTTCCTACATGATTAACTACTTTAGGTCACGTGATAGGTTAGTATTTTAAGACAATCATGAAGCGTCGCGTAGCGATCGTATTAAATTACGAGGTTTTTCAGACCACATAATCATAACTCTAAGAATAAACAAGGTATTTCAGCAAATAATTAGATTTATTTTTTTGTACAAAAACATAGATTGACATATCATTTAACGTTGACGTTTAAATTATATGATACTAGTGGACGCCCGCGACTTCGTCCGCGTGGAAGTCGGTATCCCGTGGGAGTGAGAAGTTTTCCCAGTAAAAAGTACCCTATGTGTTATTCTGATGTATAACCTATATTGCTGTAAAGTTTTATCCAAATCCGTCCAGTAGTTTTTTCGTGAAAGAGTAACAAACATCCATACATCCATACTTACAAACTTTCGCCTTTATAATATTAATAGGATAGGATAGGATGATCAAATGGCCTGCCGGATCATAAAATCATCAATTCTACGATATGGCCACAACATATATATGTAATGTAATAAGTACGTCGTTTATTGAAAAAAATATATGTTGCACTGTAAATAGAAATATTTTTTTATCATCAGCCCTTTTAACTCCCTACTGCAAGGGCTTATTTCAAATTGAATTGGATTGAATTAATATCTCTAAAGTTTTCAAAGATAAAGTGCTGAAACATATTCGATATTGATTGTAGTATCCTCGAACTTAAACATGAAGGTAATTTCATCATCAGCTCGGGAAACAACAGCGTTTTTGAAAAATATATGCTGCCCAAAGTAACTATACCACGCGGACGAAGTCGCGGGCAAAAGCTAGTATCTTATAAGAAATCAAAAAATTTAATTTGTTATTGAAATTATATAAATATCACCACTGAACGAAATATGGCACTTTTCACCTCACGTGCACTACAGGTCGTCCGCCAACAACTGGTATAATTACCATATTTCATTTAAGGGTTATATTCAATTCAAAGCAAAAATATGAACGATTTACTGTGTAAATTTCAACAAAAAGAAAGCTTCATGCCGACCCTAAAAATCGAAATCCAGTAGTCGGCCCACTGAATTTTAATGTTGCCGATCTCAGCTGTCTTGATCTTACAGAAATGCAACTGAACAAGCTTGAGTGGCTTCAAAACTTTTGCATAAGATTTACAATTGGATTATGCAAATATGATCACTGTGTATCCGATTTTCGTGAGAAACTGGAGTGGTTGCCTATTTGATTTCGCCGGAATACACATATTTTAAAACTTTAAATTAGTATACTTTTTAATCCACTTCTCTTCTTATCTCAAAGATCGTTTCTCGATCGATCTCAAAATTCGTCAAAGAATCCCACCCCCGCTTCTTGAGGTCATCAAAAAACCTACTGCGGGAAATGCCCATACTTTGCACTAAGTTCTATTGATAAATCTTTTACTGTCCACGTTGTACCCTCATGAAATGCGTTATATACCTTTGTCGATTAGAAAAGCCTTGTTAAGAGAGCACTACACTATTAAAGTATGTAATATAGATATTATATGTTTATATATTTTATAGAATAATGGTTATTATGTTATATTATATGTAGGTCTATTATAAAAATTAAATAAAAAGTGAAAATTAACGAATACTGCTCATCAATCGGAATCCTTTAGATGCGAAGGTGTGCGTTTTATTAATAATAAAGGAACAGATTCCATCAGACGTCATTTAACACTA